TTACCCTCAATCACCCCCGACCGCTCATGGCGGCCGCCGGTTGGATCCTTCAATTCCATTGTGTATCGAGCGGGGCGGCAGAGCTGACCAGCGACGCTGCTTGATTTTCACCTTAATTTGGTCGAAGGAGTCGCCCGGCGCTTAACGCCGTCGGCACTTCCCCGTTCTGGTATGGCGGATAGGCTGGCTGTGTTGGCCTGTTGGCCTGTTGGCCCGGGGTCAACTTCCCGGCGTCTGTTGCTATGGAACTTTGTTTCTTGTTGGATTTTTCTCGTCTTGTTGGTTGGGCGGTCATTCTTGGGTCCGTCCGGGTCGTCCGATTTGTCTAGGTCGTCGAGGATCGCCGGTGGTAGACTATAGACTCCCAATTGGAATTTGGGTCGATTCGGATTCTGTCGAATGAGTCTAATGCTGCTTGTTGGGCTAAAGTACTTGCTCAGTGCTGCTTCGCACGATCGAGGATGGTGATCAGATCTCTCCTCTATCCACTACATCCTTCCGGCTCTTGGATCCGATCCTACGCTACGCTTCCCACTCTTTGATAGGCTTTTGATCCGTCACAACTCTATAAGTGTCCAAAGTGACCGCTTAAGCGAGGTTCTACCTCCGCCGCATGGTTGGAATACTTTGTTAACTGCGATGGTCGTTTCTAGCACAGATGTTCCGAGCCTACTGTGATCCCATTCCTTATCTTCCATTATCAAAACGAATATGCCGGGATGGTCAACTTCGCTTAAAATCCCATAAGTGTTAGCGCATAGAACCCGACATGCCAACGCCTACAGGCATCTAATCCATCTAGAAATCCCACCGCAACCCCACGTTCGGCTCCGTATCAGCACGGTGCGCGCATGTCGAGGGAGACCACGCCAACGACGCCACCGGTGTCCCGTCGGTGCTTATGGTGACACGTTCACAGGCCGTCTTGTGCCAGCTCTTGCGGGTCATTACATGACTGGAGAAGAACAAGGCGGCTCGGGGGTCCTGGATCTTACATGCATTGCATGAGCATGTGCAGGTGGGTGATACCAATAGAGCATTCCTGTCACTGCTAAACTACTACCAATACAAGACCACCTGCGAAGGCCTGGGGTATGATCCTCCAATGGGTAAGTGACACAAAGGTAGGCGTTGAGATCACAAGGGCGTACCGGTCTGTCAATCGCGCAATATGAGCCAATCCCACTCCAGCAGCATTCAACAACATGGGAATGGGTTCATTCCCCAGTCCGTAGATATAATCCATCCAGCTGAGATACGGTACTCGTCGCTACTGAATACTTCACCAATGCCACAGTCCTGCGGATGCAAGCACCGGACAGACCTGATTTTCCACCCCAGAGACACCACGTACAACGCTCGGATTAACCTTGTCTGAACGCCACACTGTTTATTGAATACCCTTCTTAACCATGTTTTATCTTGGTAGGCTCTTCTTGGTACCCCAAGTAACGAGACTCTGATTTTAGTATCGACCGTAAACTTCGAAACTAGACTAAACCATGACATCTTCCGCATTGAGTGATCGGATACAGGGCATGCTATGCAGTACGGTATATAATACCTGATCAGTACTAATATATCTTGCAATTGGTATTACGGATGGGAACTCAACTACACAAATGCTTCTTCATCATAATGTCTTATAGTGTGCATATGAAGGACGAACATGACTAGCATAATGCTAGACTACTCATTAGATTCTAAAGATGATCGTCCCCCCTAAGCACCCAGGAAACACAAGGCGTCGAAACCAAAACCATTCCAGCATGTTAGACAGACTGATCACCTCGTTCACAGAGGACCGGATGACCATACTAACGATCGATCCCCAACCTCACAAAACAACTGCGCTTCATGATCATTCTGTGACATACTATCAATAAACAAATACTGAAAATCTTTCAAAGAGAATCGACACGCAGCAACAATTATATCTATCGCTTTCCAACTGTACGCAGCCTTAACCAGTGAGTCACTAGAAACAGACCGACAGGGACCCACGCCCTGACAGCAAGAACGCCAGCTATATTTCGATAGACAAGTCCAGCGGATGAGAGACTCACTCTTGATAGGATAATGGTTCTTGTGCAACCAAGCGATCATATAGGCGACCAGCAGTGGTGAGGGAGGCCAATCCGACGTGGTGAGTACCTGAGGTACGGCTGGTGCAAGCCATTTAGTGCTGTATTATTATTTGTTTTTGGAGCTGGAGATCCTGACAAGCATTGTTCAATATATATATTTCTCTCTTTCTCTCTCTATATACATAGTCCAACCCTGTTGATATGGTTGCCGGCAATAATGAACAATCTAGTGGATACTTCTATCATTATGCTATATTGTAAACAACAAAGCTACTTGATATGTGCACATCGATCTGAGTTTCTTGAACGCGATTCTTCAACTTATCAGCAATTATAGCACAAATCAAACACTGTCACACTCAACTGATGAATTTTCACTGTACAAATCTCCCAAACAATACATAACCTATGGTGTTGTGGATCTATCAAAGAATAAAGTACGGTCCGTCCGATCGAGATCTCCCGTCCCGGCAAGCGTTACGATCTCCGCTCCGCGAACCCAATCAAAATCAAAACTTACCAACCAACCTTCAATTCTTGACCTTCAATCCACCCTCCCCCACACTCTCAATTCGGGTTGACAGGTATTAGTATGCCAGAAAGTCGATCATGTTTCGCCCTTCTGTAACCCAGCCGCTGGTCCGTCGAGTCCCCTTATCCTTCTTCACGCCCTCCGCGTTCCTCCCCGCGCGTCCTCCGCCCGTAACCTCGCCGTTCTCCTTCTCTCGCGCCCTCTCAACCTCTACACCCTCTCGATTGTCCCGGTTTTCGAATCGCCCCTTCCAGTCCCTCTCACAAATATTACATCGTGGTCATCGCCGACCGTTCTCCAGCGCCAGCCCGCGATGGAATAGGTACCGGCGGTTCGGCGACGGCCAGCGCCCCCTCTTTGTCGAGAACCATAATGGAGGGAGAATGGTGATCATAGTAGTCTGCATCGCCGGCGGATTCTATGCATTCAACCTAGAAGATGTGGAGGTGCGTCTCGGCTGTTTTGCGTGGTGTGGACCAGAATAGTCACCACGATGAAACAGTTTTCTTTTCGTTGCAGCTAGGACTCATCCGGGGTGACTTGCGAATCGTCGTAACCGGCCCGGGGAAGGAAGGGAAGGAGATGGCTAACCTTTTGTTTTTAGATGACCGGTCGCCGGCGTTTCAACTGCTTCTCCCATGCGCAGGAGCTCAAGGTGGGTATGCAGAGCTACGAGGAGTTGCTGGAGGAGAACCGCGGCCATATCCTTCCCTACGACCATCCGCTCTCCCAAAAGGTCGACACCGTTCTGCAACGGTTGATTCCGGTGGCGCCGCTCGAGGGTGCTAGCTGGAGGGTTCACGTCATTGACGATATCAACACCCCCAATGCCTTCGTGCTTCCTGGGTATGGGAAATCTTTGGGTCATCTGGTCCTTGGCCAAGCGGGGGTTGATGTGTGAGCTGGCTAACAGATTTATACAGCGGCAAGGTCTTTGTCTACACGGGAATCTTACCCTACTGCCAGAATGAGGACGGGTTGGCGGCGGTGCTCGGGCACGAGATTGCCCACGTGCTGGCCCATCACCCCGCTGAGCGCATGAGTAACAGTTTGATTGCCATGGTGGCTGCCATGGGCGTTTCGTTCCTGTTCGACATCTCGGGCCAGATTCCAGCCATGATGTTGAGTTTGGTGTATCGCCTGCCGAACTCACGGGTCCAGGAGGTGAGACTCTAGCAAGGCCTAGTGAATTGACTGTTTGATTGACGCAAGGATTTCCCCAGGCCGAAGCCGACAGCATCGGGCTGAGTATGTCAATCTCACCCTAACTCATGGTGGATCTTGCTGACATTGCGATTAGCGCTAATGGCCAAGGCCTGCTTCAATCCGGAGGAAGCATATAGCCTGTAAGTTTCTGTCTTTTCTCGATACTGGGTGACAGTCGGGTGGGCTGACCTTTTGTTTTCAGTTGGTCTCGCATGGAGCAACGAGGGGCCGCGGAACCCCCGCAATTCCTGTCCACGCATCCGTCGGTAGGTTTCCTGTCGACTTGACCCGAATCGACCGTACGTTGCTGACCTTCTAGAATTACAACCGGATGGAGTCCATCCGTGACCAGTAAGTGCCTCCACTGCCGAGACGCAACGAGACGTAGAGAACGGAGCTGACCATATGTAGATTGTTCAAAGCGCAGTCCATATACGAAGACAACGGTTGCCAAATCCTCGGTGGATTCGGTAAGGACCATCCGTTCTGTATGTTGGATGGGAACGAAGAGAATGCTGACGTACTCCTACACAGTGCCGGACTTTGAAGAGGCTTACAGCCAGATGAGTTAGGGGGATGAATGTACAGATCGCCATCTCGTGTATCATAAAAAAATGCCATCGATGCAAGAGCGAGAGCAGTATTGGAAGTATGCACTTGACATTGTAAGTTACTAGTATAGCTGATGTTGAGACTTCCGTATTATACTCGACACTACGGTCTCGTTTGCGCCCACTTGAGGTATATTGCAAAGACTCGGATAATTGGATGATTCAATAATCCGGGCTGGTCAGTCATGTCCAGCTCAATATCTCTCTATCATTGTGTCTGAGGATCTGTTTAATTCCGATCGTGGCCTGTGACGGTGTTTGCAGATAGGGGTCTACGTGGACATACGGGTAGGATTGAAAATTTCGTAGTCGATGTGTCGACACTCAAAAGTAGAAACAAGATATGCTCAATCACCGAACTCAAATTCAACGACACTACTAAGACTTCAGATCCACTCGAGCTGCAGAAAGTAAACAAGACGAGGATTGAAGCCATACAAGTATACTGTAACAGCGACGTCCAGCCCCTCGGTGCAAACAGTACAAACACTGCAAACATCGTCCCCCCCGACTCGATTATTATCAAAAGCTCCGTCAAAATTCCCCAACTTCCTCTCCAACAGCTGTTCACCCCCCTACCCCTTTTCTTCCCTTCCAATTCTATCTTGTCTCTTCATCTTAGAGGCAACTTTCTCTCGTCATGTCATTGTCGATGCCGGGTCCCTCCCAGGGGGGCCTTTTCAAACCCGGTTACCAGACGTAAGTTCTACACCGGGCACAACGGGAATGCTGTCCCGCCCCTCAGTCCGCTTGCTCTTTGTGGTCGACCCAAAATGATACTATAGACAACGAAAGGAAACCCACGCAATTAACTAACTGATATTCAAAAAGTCACGATGCCGAAGACGGCGCCGTCATCCGGAATATCGAGGCTTGCCAGGCCATCGCCCAGACCGTCCTGACCTCGCTGGGTCCCTACGGCCGCAACAAGATCGTCATCAACCACCTGCAGAAGTTGGTCCTCACGTCTGATGCTGCGTCCATCCTGCGCGAGCTCGAAGTCGTTCACCCGGCTGCGAAGCTCCTCGTCATGTCCAGTCAACAGCAGGATGCGGAGATGGGTGATGGAACCAACCTCGTGATCATCTTGGCGGGTGAGCTTCTCAAGAAGGCGGAGGAATTGCTTCGTCTGGGTCTGAAGACTAGCGATATTGCACTGGGTTATGAGAAGGCGCAGAATTTCGCTCTGAAGGTATTAGAAGGTGAGTGTCTTGTCGTTGGTCGTTCATACATCCCTCCCGCCCCTACCCCTCCGTTTTAGTTGGTCACTCTCTAGCGTCACATCACTAACAGATGTCAAGATCTCGAGGTCGACCGTTTGCAGTCTCTCCAATCCCAGACCGAACTGACCAAGGCCCTCCGCACCGTGGTCGCGAGCAAGCAGTCCGGCATGGAGGATCTGCTGGCGTCGCTGGTGGCCGAGGCCGTGCTGGCCGTGCTGCCCAAGAACCCGATCAACTTCAACGTGGATAATGTTCGTGTGGTGAAGATCATGGGTGGCAGCTTGGAGCAGTCGCGCGTGATCAAGGGTATGGTCTTTGGCCGGGAGCCCGATGGAATCATCAAGAAGGCCCAGAAGGCCAAGGTCGGCGTGTTCAGCTGCCCGATCGATATTTCCCAGACCGAGACCAAGGGCACTGTCCTCCTGAAGAACGCCGAGGAGATGCTCAACTTCACCAAGGGCGAGGAGGAGCGCCTGGAGGCGGCCGTCAAGGAGCTGTACGACTCCGGCGTCCGCGTCGTCGTCTGCGGCTCCACCGTCGGTGACCTCGCCATGCACTACCTCAACCGCTTCAACATCCTCGTGGTCAAGATTCTCTCGAAATTCGAGCTCCGCCGACTCTGCCGCGTCGTGGGTGCCACCCCCCTGGCCCGTCTGGGCGCCCCCATGCCCGACGAGATGGGCTCCATCGACGTGGTCGAGACCACCGAGATCGGTGGTGACCGCGTGACGGTCTTCCGCCAGGAGGACCCCAGCACCATCACCCGCACGGCGACCATCGTCCTGCGGGGCGCCACGCAGAACCACCTGGACGACGTGGAGCGGGCCATTGATGACGGCGTCAACGCCGTCAAGGCCGTCACCAAGGATCCTCGCCTGGTGCCCGGTGCCGGAGCGACCGAGATCCAGCTGGTCGAGCGGATCACCGCCTTCGCCGACCGGACGCCCGGCCTGCCGCAGTATGCCATCCGCAAGTACGCCGAAGCCTTCGAGGTGATCCCGCGCACGCTGGCGGAATCCGCGGGTCTCGACGCCACCGAGGTTCTCTCCCGGCTCTACACGGCGCACCAGCGCAAGAACGGCGACGCCGCGGCGGAGGGCAGCTCCGACAGCGACGAGCCGTACTGGACGACCGGTGTGGACCTGGAATCGTCCGCGTCGGCGGGCACTCTCGACACGGTGGAAGAGGGCATCCTCGACCTGCTGGCCTCGAAGAGCTGGGCGATCCGTCTGGCCAGCGAGGCGGCCCGGACGGTGCTCAGCGTGGATCAGATTATCGTGGCCCGTCAAGCGGGCGGACCCAAGCCGCCCGGTCCCAACCCCAACTGGGATGAGGACTAAGCGTGAGGTTGCAGGGACCCGACGGGGGACTGGGTCGTATGTGTCTATGGAGGGAGGAAATACATAGTATGTGATAGAGATACGATCTTCATGAAAAAGTTCTTGACACTACGACTGGTGGGGAGGGGGAGTTCTCCGTATGGTGTAGTCAATAATAATCTTAATCTCGTCTCCATCCCTTGTGTTTGTGGTAGTTGTCCAATTCCTTCCTGGTGACTGGTATAGCGGGTGTGGTCGATCACGTGACGGGCGTAGATTTTCCGAGCCGGCCCCGTTCGATTCTTTATTCTTTTTCGATCCGGCCGCGCATCACTTCAACTTCCTCGCCAGACTTCCCCATTCTCGTCCACCCGCCAGTCCCTCACGCCTCCTCTTCGTGCCGTCTGAATCTCCCCTGCGCGTCCCTCCTGTTCATCATGTCCTTCGCCTCCCAGACCGCCGCCCGGTGCTGCCGCCAGCTGGTGCGCCCGACCGCGACCCGCCTTTCGTCCCCGGCGTACTTGGCCCCGAGCCGGAGATGGCAATCCACCGAGGCTGAGGCCCCTGCTGCGCCTGCCAGCCCTAAGATCTCGCAGATTGTCGACCAGATCAGCCAATTGACGCTGTTGGAGACGGCCGACCTGGTGTCGACGCTGAAGGTGCGTACCTGAGCTCTTGTTTTGGGGGGGGGGGGGGGAGTCGGAGCGATCCCGAAGCTGCTGTGACCATGGGACAATCCGAACAAATACACCACCATGGAACAATTGTCTAATTGGAAAATTTTTCTGTCTTATAGTCCCGCCTGAATATCCCCGACCTGCCGATGGGTGGATTCGCTATGGCTCCTGGTGCTGGACAGGCCGCCGCGCCCGCTGAGGAGGAGGATGCTGCGCCCGTGCAGCAGGAGAAGACCCTCTTCAACCTGAAGCTGGAGTCCGTGGACCCGACCTCCAAGGCCAAGGTCATCAAGGAGGTCAAGACCATGCTGGGTCTGTCTCTGGTGGACAGCAAGAAGTTCGTCGAGTCGGCTCCCAAGGTGCTGAAGGAGTCGGTCCCCAAGGATGATGCCGAGAAGATCATCGAGACCCTCAAGGCGGTGGGTGCCAAGGCTATCATGGAATAAATGCGGTTTACGAGGGTGTCTTCTTTCTCTCTCTCTCTCCCCTATGTCTTGGGGAATTGGGTTAGATCGACTGATTGGGACGACGTGTGATTGAACTGCATCTACCAGCTGGAGTTTTGTCTCTCGCCTTTTTCTTTTTCTTTTCTTTATCTGACGCTGTCTACTGTGTTATATCTGGCTCTGTATTTCTTTTTCATTATCTTGTTTTTCTTTTTTTTTTCTGTTATTTTTCTTTCCCCGTGGTATATCATATTGAGTGTCATATCCTATAGCCGGAAGCGGGGAAACAAAAGGCGGCCAATGTACATTATTGTGAAGGTATTCCTGTCATCTCCTCGTCCGTAACCTGTAGATCTCCGTCATTTGGCGTGTCGATTGATCGAGAATGTCATGGTCTTGGTAGTAAGTTGAGGCGCGAGTGCGGACTGGCATATTTTCTGCCGACCCGAGTTCTCCGCCGCGTCCACTCTTTTCCCTCTACATGTCCAGCTTCATTTCACTTCTCCAACCCCAATCAAACACACCCACCATGTACCTCTCGCGCCCTCCCCTCCGACACACCCCTCGACTCTTTCGACTCACCTCCACCTGCAATGCCCCCCTCTCCCGCTCCTTCCACCCGTCCAGACCCGCCCACGCCGTCCGCGCCCCCACCACCCGTCGCAAAAACGGCCCCGGCTCCAAGTCTTTGCTTCGACGGTCGCCTTTCGAGTCGGAGCGGGAATACCTCAAGCTGCATGGCACAAATCTTTGGACCCAAGCGAGGGTGGACAGAATCCTGGAGCGCACGCTCCCCAAGGAGCGATTCTTCAACGTCGCGGAGCGTCTTTTCCAGGCTGCGGAGGGTTCCGAGTTCCAGGTCAACGCAGCCGCTATACAGGACATCGGGCTAGGTGAGAGCAGCACAATTGCCCTTCACCAGCGCAAGGAGATCCGCGGAAACGATAACAAGACACTAACGCCATACTCCTATAACAGACACCAACCAGACCTTCCACATCGGCAACATCGTCGGCCCCAAGAAAGGACCCTTCCCCGCATGGCACCTCGCATCCTGCGCAGCTGCCGGCGCCAGCCACGCCATCTACGCGATGTGTCTATCAACGACCACCTCACAACCATTACCACCGTCTCTCAAATACACAATGCAAAACGTCCGCAAGCAGCTTGACACCCTCGCGACCCAAGCCCGCGACCCCCGCGCCATGATCGTGCGCGCCTACCTACTAGCCCACAACAACCAGCACCAAGAAGCCCGCGCTCAATTCGACGAAGCCCTCCCGCGCATGAAACCCAACCATCGCGTCGTCCCCCTCCCCAACGGCACGCACCTGCCCCCCATGCCTCAACTCAAAACCCCCTGGCCTCTCTACGCCTCCCTGCTCGACAAAACAGACCCCGACCCCGCCACCGCCCGCGAACACTTCCTCACCTCCATCGCACGCGACTACCACGACCCCGCCGCGCTGGTCGTCCACGCCGCCTCCTTCCTCCGCCACGATCCCCCCGACTTCGACGCCTACGAGGAAGCCATGAGCCAAGCTGCCAGCGCAGGCAACGCAGAAGCCTGCCGCCGTCTCGCCTGCTTCTACTACTCCACCTACCAAGGCACCTACCCGCCGCGCGGACACGACTCCGCCCTCGTCCCTGAAAAAGACAGCGACAGCAGCAACAACAACAACAACAGCAGCAGCAGCGACTGGCTCACAAAATTAAAAACCTTCATCCAATCCGTCCGCGGACCCCTCCCCCGCTCCAAGTTCCGCCCACTAGCAATAGAGTGGTTCGAGCTTGCTGCGCTTCAAGGCGACGCCAAAGCGGCGCTCTCGCTTGCGGTGCTGGTCCGCGAGGACGGCGACGCGGAACGGGGAATGGAGTTGCTGCTGCAGAGCGGTGATGTGTCGGGCTTTGCGAGGTCTTTGCGGTTGAATTGGGAGAGGGAGGATTATAGACCGGGGATTCCGGGGGAGTTGTTGGTTTGCTAGTTCCTCTGTCTCTTTCGCCTTTATGCTGTATTATATAGATAGTGGTTGCGGTGATGGTAGTGATTGATACCCGATGTATATTATTCGTGGGATTTATTTCTCCTCTTCTTCTTCTTCTTCATCTTCTTATTTCACATGCTTTTCCAAAAGAAAGCGTCAGATATAGAGGCTGGTGAGTGAGCTGGGTGTAGGCTAACCAGCACCTGCTATGCATTTCATTCATGCTCCTCGTATATGTAGAGCAGATATAAATCCTGGTACGAAAGTAAAGTAACTGCAAAGAGAATCCAAGTGAAACCAAACACAAGTAAAAGGAAGGGAAGGAGAAAGAAAAAGTAAAATAGAAGGAAAGAGAGAAACGCCAAAGACCTCATACCCAACATCCCACATCTCACCACCCACTCATCTCAATTCATCCCAACCGAAACATATCTGAGAATCTACATAACATGCAACCCCGCCAAAAAGCAACCAACAAGCACCGCAAACCCACCGGGTCACTTCCGCCTTCCCTTCCCCGTACCCTTCCCACGAGTCTTAAGCTCCACGAACCCCATCTCCTTCAACCCCCGCGTAAGCGCCGACGAGTCGCGCATCCCGGGAAAATCCTTAGCCGGGTACACGCGGAAAGGGTCGGACCAGGCCTCAGCGAGGATAGGCATCGAGAGGCCCGTGTCTTCGACGCTGCCCCAGTTCATTAGGCGAAATTGGAGGCGGTACAGGCCGGCTGTGCGCACGGACAGGTCTGAGAAGATGAAGAAGGTTGCGGGGTGGCTGGGGGGTTCTCCAGGGGCGTGTCTGGTCGCTGGGTGGTGGTTGTTGATGATGTCGTTGGTTGTGGGGGTGGGAGGTGCGGTGGCTGGATCGGGGTCGGCGTCAACGAAGAAGGGCGATACAAAGGATTTGCCTGAGAGGAGGGGTGTTGATTGGCCCGGGGCTGACTCCGGTGTGGAAGGGATGGGGCAGAGGAGGCAGCCCACGGCGAAGCGGGGGTCTTGGAGAATGTCTAGATCGTTGGCGGAGCGGGGGTCGAAATCGGTGATTAACATTTGGAGAATCGGGGGAGGATCGACGGGTCGCCGATCACGGTCGACGGCTCCGCAGGCTCGTGCAGCGATGGGCTGTTGACGAATGTGGAGGTGGTAGCGGGGTGTCGACGAGGTGCGTCGTGGCGGCGGCGACGGCGTCGGCGAATGGTGGATGAGGTTGCCCAGGCTCATGGGGGAATTGGAGGATGTGGAATACCGGGGTTTTGGTTGGGCGAGAGGGGCAAGGCTGCGGGTGTATGTGGCGGCGCCATTGTCTGAGGGCACTGGGCTACTACTATATCTAGATCCATGGGATGAGTGGGGTCTGTTGGATATCAACACCTCGTGGGATATTGAAGGCACCGGGGCGTAGAAGGGGAAGTCACATACTGAGAGTCGATGTCGGTCATTCGCCCGGTCGAGCTGATCGAAGCTCGAGCGTAATTGGCCGTGTCGTAGTGGGGACTCGAAGGCCCTGTATACTCCATCCCCGACAGGCTTGGTCGCTGTGTCCCGTATGGAGCCAGGGGACCTCCGGGGCCTGGCGAGACGCCATAACTAGGACCTCCACTATAACTGGGACCTCCACCATCTTCGGGTCTTCCGTGGACGGGCGGCCTGTACTGGGACAAGGTCATTGGGGTTGAACCCGAGCTCTGGCGGCGCGGATGCAAAAAGCTCGGAGGCTCTGGTTCATATTGCGGGACGGCCCTCACGCTCAAAGACTCACCGTCGGAGACCAGATGGTGGACGGTGGATGGGGGATGCCGCCATTGTTGCACGGGCGGTCTTGACATCTATGCGGATTTTTGGACCCCTCACCTTTTTTCCTTTTCCTTTCTTCCTGGGGTGTTATTTAATATTGAACAAAACACGAGGATCGACTCCCCGCTTGCTGCAGGGCTGGCACTCGTCAAGGGCACGCAGGAAGCGGTCAAATCAAGATATCTTTGACGCCAGGCACTGTTGGGCATCCCCCTCCCCTCCCCCCCGTGCCCCCAAATTGGTGCAGGCGACGGACAGGGTGGTGATTGGCAACAGCGGGGATAGTTCTATGCTACATAGAAAGATCTAATAAGTCCTGGTGATAGGGCGGTGGTAGCACAAATGATTAAACCGCCGAAATCGTCCGCTTCTAAACACCCGAGGGGGATAGAAGAATGGTGCCCACAGTGGGTAGAATCTCCAGGTTACTGAGGTCAATCGACAAATCGAGAGATATGCATGAGTTAGTTCTAAATGACCACCGACACTATCCCAGGAAAAGGAGGGGAAAGGCAAGCGTGAGAGGGAAACTGATTGAGGGTAAATACCAGCCAGTCACCCCAGTTGTATTGACCGTGAAATGCCCTAAGATCAACGACAAAGCATGGGAGGAATCAAATCGATATATCAGACCTGTCGATTCTCATTAGTCCGCCCAGCCGTCGCAGAGCAGTTTGCCTGATCCATAAATCGGCAGTTGCCTTTTATTTTTCATACACACATACATAAACATATATGCCCTCGCTGCTGTGTGGGAAAGAGACAAACAAGGAAAGAGCGACAGGTACCTCGTACGAACTTTAAAATAAACCATGGGTCAAGAACCTGAGATATGACACGATTCGGACTATTCGTCCTGGGTGGCTCCTGTGGCCGTGCAACCAAAGGTGGCGCTAGGAACGCAATGGCCCCGAGCTGGAACGATGGCTCGCTGGCGTGATGTGACACCAACGGGCGAGGGAAAGTGTGGACGACTCGATGGGGGATCGTCGGTCATGAATTATAGTGGGGTAAACGAAGAAGCAGTTCGTCTCTGACAGGACGATATCTAGTGTATTTCCGAATCTTCCCGCTGCATTTCGCGTGTTTCGACTGTCCCGGGCAAAGATTAGAATGCGGTCATTTAATGTTCCAATTTGATTGTCGAGGAGCAGAAAAGTATGCGAGAACAGCTAATCAAAAGGGGGAAGTGAAAATAGAATGCGTGAATATCATTAATAAAGAGTAAACACAAAGCAAACCGGAGGATAAAACAAACACACCAAAAAAACAGAGAATAGAAAAAGAAAAGAAAAGAAAAAAAAGAAAAAGGAAATAAGACGGTAGGAAAGGACAAGCAAAGAGGGAAAAAAAAGAAAGCGAGGTAATAATACGGACGATCAGAAGAGACAGGTATGGGAGTCTAACAAACGGCCGCCAATCCACGATGAGCCTGGAGATCTAATCGGTGAAGAGGTGTGCTGTAATAACCATGACCGAATGCGCCCAGGATGTGGAATTTCAAGTCTGATCCAAATCCCTCGAATAGTAAACCCGACATAGATATGATCGTGGACCTGGAGGTGTCGGCGTGTTGGATATCACGGTCGACCAACAACTCGCTTGCCAGCTAGTCAATGAGGCTGACCTTGCGACTACGGTGTTGGAGAGCATGCTCTCGTTTTTGGCTCGCCTTTGAGCGATACACAAGTGGCCCTGTCCTGATAGGGTCATGGAGCCCATAACTGCTCCCCCGCCGGGCGGGTTTCTCGTCGACGGACCAGGATAGGAATTGTCGACATGCTTAATGGGTACACGGATTGATCACCGATGACCAAAGAGGAAGCTGCATGGGGAGGGGGAGTTCCCCGTTCACGTCGACCATCCCGGGCTTTTTAATCCAGGCGTTGGCCGACTGTGGAGATCCCGTCCTTGTGCTCCATCGCAAACTTTCTCCGCCCTAGCCAATGTTTGGATCCGGGACTTCGGGTGAGTTCGGTTGAGTTGGGATGTCGCTCGGGGTAAAGATTGTACGCGCTGGTGCTGCAGGTGAGGCCTGCTTTCTGTGCAGTTCTTTATCATTCCCGATGGTCATTCGCAGGATCACCATCGCACGAGCCATGGCGAACCCAATTACCACCTAGTAACCTGCCTACCGAACAATACTAGTCGGTAAGGGGTTAGACCATGGACCAGCGGTTTGGTCCGTTCGGCCAACCAGCTGTTGATGACAATCTTGTCACTTGGGAAGAAGTCCCCATGCTGTTACTACATTTGCTGACCGAATGAGGAAAGACTTGTAATGGCGGTGCTCCACAACCCAGACACCAATAGAGGGAACATAGAACGACTCGGGCCTCGCTTAGAGGGACAAAAAACAATGTCAGAGGAGCTCGGATCAGCTATAATTCTCATTCTTGATCCACATTTTTGACGGCAGATACCCACAATTAACATGAAGACTTCTACCAGTGTCGATCAACCAACTAGTACACTGTAGTATTAGTTTGTGAGTGGTAGACTACCTCCAAACAATGCTCACCTACGACGCTATGAGCGCATCGGACCTGGCTCGGCCGAGCAGTTCATTCAATTATGTAAACGCACTCCCAGTCGGGTTTGGACGTCCTTCTCCAGCTGCGAACATACGAGCCTGCATCCGTAGCGTAACAAGTCAACAACTGTCTCCATGTCACTTAGCGATGTGGGTCCTGCGAGTTCAGTGATGCCCCCAGTCAGAGGAACACACCGTCTCTCGATGGCCTCTATCGCGCCCCGCCTTTGGCAGATAAGCAATGGTGAACAGTGTCCATGGTTTGGGCAAGATTTAGCTGCGTCACTTTGGTGGAGGGTTGGGTGGAATAGTACGTAGAGGCCAACCACCGCTTTGGCTTCTATTCGGGGACATAGCATGAAAATCAAGCTGAATGAATAGGTTCTTACCGAGACCGTGAGAGATCATAGAGATAATGCCTTGGAAGATCAATACCTCAGCCAGGGTTGTGTTTCAAAAAGAGACAAGCACAGCCACGATGGAAGAAGGGTATCTCATATCCTTGTCATTGCCGGGATGGAGAGCTAAGCGGGCCAAGGGTGTCTGCCACGATTAAGTTTCTGATCCTATTGGGTCCATACAGTCCATGGCAATATCTTCGTCTTGCCATTCACAATAATCTGTCATCTACAAAGTGCAGCCACCCAATGAACCCGATCGACAAGCTTGGTCTAATCAGTAGTCAGTATTGGGGCATTGGCAAATCCTAACCAGTTCACCTACTTACGACATTGAACGGAAGGATCCGTACCCGCAACGGAGTTACACTTCCCAAAATCCCAATTGATGTTCGTGGGGCTCCGTCTGAAATGAGAGTTAGTCCGAGCGGATTTGCTGTATCACATGAAAGTCTGACCCGGCCGCTAACGCAGATACCTAGGACATCAGAGGCGCGGAACCGGATCAGGCCCCCAATGGTGGAGCCCTGTTGCGATTTAGCGATAGAAAAAGCCCTAAGAGTAGGACAGTAGTCGCCTACAAGGTCGGACATCCAGTCAGTGTGCGCATGTTGGAGTGGTGTTTATGTACATTCAAATTGGCCGTTGCTAAAACAGTAGAAACGAGGGGAAAGTCCCACTTAGGCCACTAGATCGAGCCCAGGGTCCGCTTCGAACTGGCATTTGATCCTGCTATTGCCAACCTGCCCAAGGGACTTGACCATCCATTTGTTCTCTCGCAGTCCGTTGTCCATAGGATAGATAACGCGGATAGTAGCGAGACTGGACTGCGGGCGTGAAGCCTCGAGCAACTGGTCAGCTCCAGCAGTTCTACGACCCTCGTTAGAATGAACCATGAGGAATTGCCCGGAAACACGGTCCCAGGCAACGATATGCCCGGTTTCCTTCCACGAAGGACTGTCTCCAGGCGGTGCTCTCTTGGGTCGCGCAGCCAAGTAACCCAGCTGAATCAAATAAAGAAAGCGTTCCTTGGCTAGAGGGGGACCGCCGCTGCTCAATCGAGCTCGCACGAGCCCTAGAGTCAATGGTGACCATGGCCGAGACATGTCCGTACTGAGAGGGAGCGACTGCGAGGACCATTCGACCGGAGACCGTTGCGGGAACCAACCAAACCCTAGGGGGTGATCATCCTCGCATGACACGCAAACAGGAATGGGCTCCCCATCGTGCTCATCCAGAAAAGTGGCAATTCTACCCAGATCTGCCGTTGATTTAGAGCATCCAAAGGCATGGATTTCCGCGATCAAACGCTGGGCGCTCTCATAGCCAGAGCTCTCGCCGTCTATGGTTAGGAGGGGTTGATTGGTGAAAATGGTAGAAGGGTCAGAAATATCAGTGTGATGCGACTTTTCAGGCCGCCAGCGGATGCCTAGTCGGCTTTCCATATCTCTAATTTGGGTTTCTAGCATCCGGAGATATTCCTCGGGACCTGCAAGCTCAGGCAAGACTTGAAGAACGTCCCCATCCGCTAGGAGACCACTGAGCCCATGGAACTTCGAAATATCTGGCAACGCGCCATTGGAGCTTTCTGATATTTGGCGCAAATATGTGATGGCGTCCTGTGGCTTTCCCGTGTCAACAAAGGTCTTAACAAAACCATAAGTAGATTCAAAACCGTGGAAGGAAGAAGCGTTCATTTTTTCTAGGGTTTGTTTCCAAATTTGGCGTAGCAGTGAGTCACTCCGGAGCCTCGCGAGTAAGGTAAGATAGAGGCCAATGTCTTCAGAGCCTTTTTCCAGATCGTCCCAGCACATGATACCATGGAGTGATTGTCGTGATGGGTCCGTAAAGCCATTCTCCCCAGTCACCACACTGAGCATGGCACTGGAGTCGAGTTCTGATCGCTGGAAAGCTAGACCCTGAAGGGTGGCTCCCAAAGCCCTTACTAGAAGGACGCTCTTCTTAGGAGCCAAGTGCCGAGAACAACCGCGACCAAAGTTATCCAGGTGATGTTTGAGAGCCGGTGCTGAGAAGGCCAGACAGGCATAGTACATCCCCAAGAAGCGTAGATCCTCTGAGACTGGCGCCCGCAGTCTTTCAACCCGATTGATCGCTGCATTTATGAACATCAAAATCTCTCCATAAGAATTGTGTTCCTGACATAGCGATAATACCCGCATCAAGGGTACACACTGATCATCTTGCAGTAGAGCACACTGTCTTCGATCATTGACGTTTTTTTCGATGTAAATCTGGAGGTTTCGAAGAAGCTCTGCGTCGCCTTTGGGATCTCCAGGCATGCCATCAATTCCAGTAGTCTCGGTCTTCCCTTGAACCACGGAACCTAAAGACGGCTGTGAATCGGCAGGGAAGGGCCACTCCTCCAGAAACAACTCATTGAAATATTGGTCTCTGTGCAGTCCCGGTCTCCCATCCTTAATAGGTGGCTTACTCCCAGTTAGAGCGAATTGAAGTAATTCGGACTGAGTGACCCTAAGAGACGATGACCTCGTCAGAGTGCTTGAAGAAGCACGACGCAGCAATTGCATTGGTCGTATATAGCGTGGTGCGCTCCATCGAAGATATCCAGATGGATTCACCGCCATTATCCGGCATTGAGAAGCTGACATCGAATGATGAAATCGACAACAATCCGGAATGCTGGCTTACCCCATGGGGTTGAGTGTTGATCCACTCCTGTCCGAACGGGCGACTCCATGCGCAGAGAGAAGAAGGCGGTGAGGCGGGCGGTGACCAAGGTCGGACCACCCGAGAAATTGAGTCTGCTTATCGTTCTTTCTTCAGCTTCATCATCTCCCTATCTGCAATCACCACCCGCCTTGATCATATCACTAGCCATCGGTACTATCTACTGGAGTGGAGATTCACACACGATGCCGCCGAATCAAGAGGCCAAATTATCAGAGACGAGTGCTTCCGACGGCAAGGAAGCGCACGCCACACAAAACTCGCAGGCTGACTCCACCGATGAGTCCGCGGCACCAAAGGAGGCCTCGGGAGAGCTGCCTGAGAACAGTGATGCAGCTTCCAAGGCCCGTCAAAGGAAGGAAAGATTCAAGGCCTTGCAGGCCCGTGCTGTGAGTAGAGGCCAATGAATAGCCCCGTTTACTTCTAGTCTCTCGGTCTCTAAGCCGATGTAGCTGGTGTTTCGCTGCCGTTTCCCAGACCGTGTATCTAACTCATCTCTAGAAATCTTCGGCAGAGCGTAATTTGAAAGAAACTGCCGCGGAGACCCAACGCTTAGCTACCGACCCGGCTCTCGTCTCGTCGTTATCACGCAAACATGCATTCGCCTCCCACAACCTGCTCAAGGCTGACACGGAGGCCGCCGGCGAGGACTTCGAACGCAAGCGTGCCTGGGATTGGACGGTAGACGAATCAGAAAAATGGGACAAACGGATGGACAAAAAACAACGTCACCGAGACGACGTTGCGTTCCAGGATTACACCCAGGATGCAAGGAAGGTTTATAAACGACAACTACGGGAGATGGCGCCGAATCTTGAAGGATACGAACGAGATAAGATGGCATCGATTGAGAAAGCTGCTGCTAATGGCGATCTGGAGATTGTTGAAACCAACGATGGGGAGTTGATCGCCGTGGATAAAAACGGTTCTTTCTACTCCACAGCTGACAGCGTCGGGTTTACCGACAATAAGCCTGATCGAGCCGCTGTCGATAGGCTAGTGTCGGATCTGAAGAAGGCTGAGGAGGTTCGTCTCAAGAAGAGGAGGGACCGTCGTGGGGATGATGAGGGAGATGTCACGTACATCAACGAGAAGAACAAGCAGTTCAACCAGAAGTTGTCGCGCTTCTACAACAAGGTAAGAGCCTTTGTACTTTTGTTTTATGGATTACTTGGCTAACGTTTCCGCAGTATACCACGGAGATCCGGGATAGTTTTGAGCGTGGTACTATGATATGATTTTCAAATCATCCTTTTTACTATTGTACAGTTTTGAACTGGTATCATCCAACCAGTAGGGGGGGTTGAAACAGCAGAGGTCCTGAAGTCGTCATGTAGAAGAACACATGGTTTCTCTAGCCTGAGGGACTGATGCACACGGCCGTCGACTCTTGATCATCTCCACCTTCATCGACTTCAAAGCATACTTTTCCGCCAAGCCCTCGTGGACAGAGCATCTATCTTCCTGCTATTGACTGCACCGTGCACAGACTCATCTTCCATTGCCTCAAGCGTGGCCTCGCCCACAAGGTCCACTTGGAAGGGTTTATCAACCATCGTCCCGAGGAAGCTGAGTCTGTCACCTAACAGCGCGTTGACTTGCGATCCGATAAAGCCACCAAGCGCGATGGGCAATGTGAATTTTCTGCTTGCGTCGTACATGAACGGGGGCCGCATGAAAATACTCCTTAGTTCGGGGAGTTGCGATGCAATAGCTGATTCGGCTTCGCGCTTGGTCGTGATGTATCTGCTCGGGAGAACCGGTGCTCCAGAGGCAGCTGAGATGAACACAAACGTGGGGACTTTCTCGTGGGAGGTTTCTTGTGCTAAAGCGATAGCTGCCGTTCATCCAACCGGCTCGTTAGTTTTAATTTGCTCGTACCCAAAAATCAAAGGTGTATACGAACCCGAATCCCTATTCATGAGCTCATACGTCAATTGTCCATTTCCCTCCTGGGGCTTCAATGGTTCCCCTTCTCTCCGTTGTAAAGGGTTTTGGCTTCCCAATTTTGACGAGCAAAACGCTCTTTGTAAGCCGCTAATGATCGGTTCTCTCCCCTGCACCACACCTTTATAATCCGCCTCGAGAAGGATCCCCATGCTGTGTACGACTGCCGTAGCTCCGCTGAGAAAAGATTTGTAGGTTTCCGGTCGAAGCATGTCCGCCTTGGCCCATTCCACGGATTCGGCCCAGCTCGGGCGTACGGGGGACTCTGTTACTGTATCCCATCGAGGTTCTCCGGACCGACTAACACGAGTAGTTGAGTATAGCGCATGCACTCTGATGCATCAGACTGAATCGTACCTCAAAGACGTGACCGACCAGCCACGCGCGACGGCAGACTTGCAGATTCTAGATCCTACAAGTTAACAGTTGACAGTCAGCCATCATGAACGTCATAGCTAGCAGTCTGTATTTTGTAGGCGGCTGTACACACCCAGGAATCCATTCCCGCCGGCAACAACCACGCGCCTCGTCGCCATTGTCTAGTATTGATCAGCCTGAGAGACTGCGCGACCAAAAAACAAGATAAATCAATAGCCACAACCAAAAGAAGAAGTTTAAAGGTCAGAACGACTCGTCATGATCACGAGAGCTCTGTCCCGAGCGGAATGCCCGCTTCCGGAGGCACCTTATCGCGATGTCACGTGCTTCCCCAAGATCTGCGCCGGTTCATCGATCACGACAGGACCGCATCCTTTCTATGCTCTGGCATTCAACCACCGACATCAGGTACAGAGAACACGGATATCAGAGATTTCCAACATGCCTTCCGCGGCAGGTACGAAACGGGTTCGCGTGAGTAAACCTCAGAATCACATCTAGGAGTTGGCTCACAGCTCTTTGATAGGGAACCTCAATCTTTCGACCATTCAGTATGAACCCTCCGCATCTATAGCGCCATAACAATATTATTGTCAAGAAAAGAAGAAATTTGTTCTAACAGCCACAGTCTTCGGCAGCGAGGCCCAACCCTTCGATCCCGCAAAGAAACCGTCGAACGTCCCCGCAGACCACACGCACCAGTGGCGCGTATTTGTGAAAGGCGTCAACGGCGAAGACATCTCCTACTGGCTGAAGAAAGTGCAATTTAAGTTACACGAGACCTACGCGCAGAACGTGCGGACAGTCGAGCAGCCGCCCTTCGAAGTGACGGAAACCGGGTGGGGTGAATTCGAGATCCAGATCAAACTGTACTTTGTGCCGGAGTCGACCGAGAAACCGCAGACACTATGGCACAGCCTGAAGCTGCATCCGTACGGGCCTGACGCAGAGGCCCGCAAGGAGCGCCGTGATGTCGTCATCAGCCAGAACTACGAGGAGGTCGTTTTCAACGAGCCCGTCGAGCAGTTTTACGATCTCCTGACGGGGGGGCCGGCCTCGGCGCAGCCGCAGAAGGGCAAGAGCGGGAAAAATACCAAGCAAGCGCAGCAGCCACAGCGCGGGGGACGCACGGCCGAGATTCCACTGCACGAGACCAATGACAATCCCTACAGCAGGGATACGGAGCGCAAGGAGATGGATCGGCTGGGGGACGCCACTCGCACGGTCGAGCAGATGATCAAGGAGGAGAAGCAGCGGTTGGTTGAGCGCGAAAAGAAGCTAGCTGAGCTACGCGAAAGCGAGGGCGTTCCGGCCAACACGAAGAAGAGATAGTGGCTACCCCGGACGCCCTTGTTGCGTATTTCCGACTGTCACAAACTCAAATGCGCGCTTCTCTCCCCTCCCCCCTCCTCCCGACTGTTGCCATACATACCCGTGCCACCTACCTATTATCGGCACACTCCAACCCCAAGGGACATTCGTTCCCTGAAACCCAGCGCGCAAGATGCGTGGGCATTCCACATACTACTACAAGCGCTGAGAAGCCGGTCTTCCCCGCAGCCACGAGAACATCAGCTCCATGCAGCTTGTGCTTCTCCCATGATATCAATGCTCTGGGAACTTTCTAAAACCGTTCCACGCAAGGAGCGCGAGAATCGATCAGCTGCCATGCCCTCTGTGGCGCCGATGCCTATCAACAAATACGATCCACAAATACGATTGTCTTAACTCATGACATGTCTTCATAGTTTCGTTAAAAAACTTAGAATACAAAGTTACATATATCATCTTTACGATAATGAATAATATACTCGTAGCCGACTATATCCGATACATAATTTGAGATAAATTGCGCTGGAATCCCTTCCGTATCCGCTTCCGCTTCCGTTTCCTCTCCGTTACTAGCCGGCCACGAGCTCCACGCTTGAACTAGATCTAGTATTTTTGGGGAGAATTCCATACATTTGTAGTATTAGGTTGGAGATAGAAAATCATTTAAGGCCAAAATATATTCAGTGGCTCTAGTCAAAATGCTAGTAATATGTACAAAAGTGGTATTAATGCATCATCAAGCTTGTACGAAAGAAAAAGAAAAGAAACCATGCTCGCTAAAGCAACAACATCTTAAAACCCCAAGGCTCTCAACCCTCAATCAGCATAACTAGCAGTCGCCTTCGTGGTATCACGAGTCTGTTTAAGGAAAGGAATCAAGTCTGTCCCCCCAGTGCCGTGGATTCCGCTAGTCGCATCATCAACATGATGGCTCATCTGGGAGGTGGTCGTTGTCGCCAGGTTCATCTGCGCCGGCATGCCAGTTGGAGCCTTCGTCTTCGCTGGCATTATGATGTAACGGGTAACCATGCGGATGTGTCTGTCGCGGAAGGCGCCGAGCGACATAACAGCTGCGTTGAAGGCATCCCTGACGGGGGAGTCGGCTTTGTGGCTCATGGCGTACTCACGGATGTTGGAGACGCGAGTCAGCATTTCCAAGAATCGTCTGTGAGGGCCTGGCATGTAGTTCCGCATGCCCTAGAATGAGGAGAAAATATTAGTACGTGGACGAATCATTGAGGGGTTGTTGGAGTACCCTGGGCTGGTCTTACCTGTATGTAACTATTCTTGGATGGAGACGTGGTGGACTTTGGGTCCCCAGTGGCAGAGTGTTCCACTCCCAGGAAGATATCGAAAGCTTGGATGAGAGAGCTCTGTGCGTTGCTGCCTCCACTGTACTGGTGCCAGCTTCCCTTACCCTCGCCCAAATCGTAGAATACACCATTTGGTAACCCAGCCGAGGCCATGTTTTTGCTTCCGGCTAGGTATGGACGCAGCTGGTGGTAGAATACGTTTGGCTCGCACTTTTCGTACATCCGCTCTAGCAGTACACCAAGGTCCCGCAGCCCTGTGTTGAATTGGTCAAGGAGAATCCTCACTCGGTGAGCATCGTCAACAGCCGCAGCATGGATTGCATCGAGCATGGACAGAATCAATGGTGCGCCTCTGGCTTCGATGGCATCTGACACCATGAAGAACCATTCTTCATCTTTGGTCCCGGTGAATGAGGCAGTGACGGATAGGTTGTCTGGATCCGTGAGATCGGTATCAGGGCTTGGGGTCGCGAAGTTCCAGAGGTTCAGAGCAGCGTAAGTGGCACACGGAGGGAGTTCGAGGTGATTCGAGACGTCTATAAACGGACATGCGATAGAAGGTGGTAGTCGCTGGGTAATCGTTAGTATCTATGATCCTGAGATTTAGAAGACAACCATACCTCTTTCGGCTGTTCGCCTCCCCAGATGTAGGCATGAGTAAGATAAGCGAGTAATACATATGCCCTCCGCCATTCGGGCTCACTCTGGAGATGTGATGTCGAAAGGACCGGGAGTTTGTCAATGACCTCCCTTGCAGTCCTATTTCGAATATGCGTGGGTAATTCACCCACGATCTGCTCCCACGGCGAGAAGTAAGAGCAATTTAACTTGCGTAGTGGAACTGTATCCGGGAGGAATCCATTCCGCAGAGAGATGTGATATTTGTCGAGAATGATCTCAGGCGTGGATAACATGGTTACAATGGTCAACAATGTCTTGGTCAAAGAATGATAGAGATTGTACGACGGTACAAAACCCCGGAGGTCTCTTATACAGGAGGCGCTACATCAAGCCGAAGCAAGCCGGATCCATCCCGGGTTTCGGCCGGATGTCACGACCAGGAGACCGGACGGTAACATCATACCACGGGAAAATAAGATCCAGTGTGGAGAAGATCTCTCACTGTCAATTGGATTGTCGAGTGTAAACCAAGGATTAGGCTTCGTGCAAGTGGAGACGGAACTGGGGGCGAGGGAGAAAGAGCCATGGAGTGCTTTCCATGATAGAGACACGGATCCTGGGGACGGAAGCGGGTGAGCGATCCGGATCCGCCACCACCGACGCCGGCCTGAAGCGGATTGGCCCCTCTCCATAACGGTGCTACTTAAGTCAGCTTACCAGTAGAGAGTGTTTCCAGAGACTTCAACCGAGTTGATTGTTTGTTTCCAAGGATATTCACAAACCACTTCACAATGTCGAAACCGGTGTTTCCAGCTGAGGCAGGGACGAAGGAATATGCTGCAGCTCTCGACGCCGCCGACCAGCTTGCGGGGTTCCGGGAAAAGTTCATTATACCCTCGAAGGCCAACATCGCTACCAAAAAGCTAGCGAAGCCTGGTAAGAACCTCTTTTGGGTATTTACCTTCTTGGATACTTGTACTGATCAATCGCAGGCCTCTCACCCGAGCCATGCATCTACTTTTGCGGCAATTCCCTGGGTATCCAACCCAAGGCCGTGGCAAAGTATCTGGAGGCACAGCTAGATACGTGGGCATCCATTGGAGTGGGTGGTCACTTCACTGACATCGAGGATTCCCCGTTGAAGCCATGGCAATTGCTGTCCGAGCAAGCGGCCGAGTCGATGTGTAAAATCGTCGGCGCACAGCCGGAAGAAGTCACGGCAATGGGAACCCTGACCGCAAACCTACACATGTTGCTCGCGAGTTTCTATAAACCAAGTGCGACTAAGCACAAGATTCTCCTGGACTGGAAGGCTTTCCCTAGCGACCACGTATGTTTCACCATGCAATTAATTGGCTCGTATAGGCGCTAATTCTGCCATAGTACGCAATTGAGTCCCATATCGCCTGGCATGGCCTTGATCCCAAGGACTCTATGGTACTCGTTGGACCCGAAGAGGGCGAATATGAGATTTCCACAGACAGGATCCTGTCTTATATCGACAAGCATGCTGCAGATGCTGCCCTCATCCTCCTTCCTGGGATCCAGTACTACACGGGACAGTTCTTCGACATGCCGAAAATCACGGAATACGCTCACTCACGAGGCCTTGTAGTTGGCTGGGACTTGGCCCATGCGTACGCCAATGTCATCCTCAAGTTACACGACTGGGACGTGGATTTCGCAGCCTGGTGCACTTACAAATACGGCAATGCTGGGCCAGGCGCCATCGGCGGTCTTTTCGTCCACGAGAAGCACGGCCGCGTTGATTACAGCGAGGGAGAGGATGCCCCCAAGTTCCGGCATCGTCTGACGGGATGGTATGGTGGAGATAGGTCCGTGAGGTTCAAGATGGATAATAGTAGGTCTCCCCTATTTTGGAACAAAGTTTGTTGCAAAACCGCTTACACCTTTCAAGAGTTCAAACCAATCCCGGGGGCAGGAGGTTTCCAACTGTCCAATCCGTCTGCAATGGACCTTTCGGCGCTTTGCGCATCACTTTCCGTTTTCGACGAGACGTCCATGGCAGACCTTCGAAAGAAATCCGTTCTATTGACGGCGTATCTTGAGTACCTGCTACTAAAGGATACCACTGACGAGACTCGTCCATTCCGCATCATCACACCCGCCGATCCTGAGGCTCGGGGCGCCCAGCTCTGCCTCTTGCTTAAACCAGGCCTGCTGCAAGGTGTCGCGGAGAAATTGCAAAATGCGAGCGTAATATGTGACAAGCGAGAGCCTGGTGTGGTGCGCGTCGCCCCTACTCCACTATACAATACGTTTACCGAGGTATGGACGTTTGTGAAGATATTCCGGGACGCCCTGGAGCAATAATGTACTACGCCCAGGGCCGTTGCCGGCTGAGGCAGCGCACCATTGGTCACTAGCAGGAGGCAGGTTTTTTGGCCCTTGTTTATGTGTATATAATGTATTCTAGAAATTCCCAAAACCCTCGCGGTTGTCACCTGTCCGTAGGAACTCCTGGCCTTGAGAGAAAAAGCTCGTAGCAAGAATTGAGAACTCGTCAGCCAGCAGGTCGGTAGGGCGAGGCGAGCCCATCGATGCTGTTGTGCCCTGTGGCCCGGCTAGGAAAGGGATCTGCAGTTCATGGTTCGAGCTAGGGGTATACGCCACTCCCTGCTCCGAGTTGATGCGAGTGGGCTCGGGTAGTGGCGACGTTTGCGATACCTCAGCAGTAAAGGCAGGTGGTTCGCAGTATAGCGAGTCACCAAACATTCGCCGTGCCGAGTCTCCGTCGCTGTTGGAGGAATATTCGAGGATCTCCCAAAAGCGGGAGAGGTCTATCAGTAAGCTCTTGTTTTGGGCTCCGGACTCAGGTTGGTAGGATGCAGATACGGCGCCTTCTAGCATCTGCAGCCTATCTGCCTTTAGGTTTGACGACTAAATTAGCAAAGGTCATCGAGCCATGAAAAGGGCTTCACGTTACCAATTTAGCCATGTGTGGCCATTTTTGTCCGAGCGTCTGTACAAATCTGACGCACTTTGTAAACCGCTCGCGCTTTTCTTCGCGGATAACGATTTTCTCGGTGAAACTCAGCTGGAGTTCAATGGTAGCTACCACTGCTGCACTGTATCCCAGCAATGGATCCGAAACAACGAAGGACTTCTCCTCGAAGTAATTGATAAAGTGAATGATCCAAGTGGTGTGGGATGAGATCAGATCAGAGGTATGCTGTAGGAAGATCTCAGGTATTGAGCTTCGAAAATTTCTGAGACTGAGAGATAGAAGGAGCGGATGGTTCAGTAGGCATAGGTTCGTATGGTAGAGGAATTGGTTCAAGAAAAAGGGGCCCCAGTAGGCTCTATTTTCTTGGAGTTCCTCGGGGGTTCTGCCGCTCAAATTCACAGACTTGAAGCGGTGGATATATGGCATGTGCGTCTCCAGGTCCATCTGAAGCGTTATAATTTTGGAATATTCCGACTGGGCTGACCAGGGTGGTATCTGGCTTGGTTTCCCATGACGACTGACATAGCGCGCAGTCTTCGCAAACACTTCGCTGAGTATTATGACATAGGCGATTATGCCTTGGTCTTGTAGATCTGTTGACCGGCTAGCATCGGGGGCGTTATTTGATGGACTGATCAGGGGCGGCACGCTGGGACTTTCCGGGAACGGAGGGAAGCTACTATCTCGACTATCGGCATAGTCGAATTCGGTACCATGAAGACGCTTCAAAAGACAGATACTCCAAAAGCAACGTCGGCGCTCTTCGCGTGTCACGGAGGAAATATTAGCATTAGATTCCAGGCCTAGATTAGCACACTGTGCCAGATTCATGGCAAGACTGCTGTGGATGTTTGAGCGATGCGTATCGCCACCTAGGTATCAAAGTTAGGGTTTTTAACATATATCATCTTGTGCATAACCTTACTAGTGAAATCCACGAGACTCAAGAGACATAAGGCCTGCAATGTCGAAAGTTCAACCGGGCCTTCAGAGACTCTTTTCATGACCAAGCTTCTAGCCACCTCCGTATAGCCATTGATTCGTGCAATGAGATCATTCACGTCTAGATACTGATCTTCTGCAAATCGGATGCTGAGAGCGAGTATAGCGTAAATGATCTCAGGGTCGCGGGTCCCAAGACTCTCGAGGAAGCTACCCCTATGGAATAGAGGAAGCGGCTGGGATTCACAATACGACAAGTAGAGTTCCGCTATAGAGACTACTTTCGCCCACGCAGGAAGAGGCGTCAGCGAGTTGAGTCGTGCAGACGCGGCCGAGCCACCTATAACAGGTGGTAGTGTTGAATCTGACGCTGCCAGATTCTGTCCTTGTGGCCCATGGTTCTGCTTGCTGCACATAAATAAGTAGTGCCCTAACGAACATGGAAGCCGGGGAAGCATGGATACCCTAACGCATCAAGCAGTTTGCCCATTTTCGACTCAATGCTTCCTAGTCGATGCTCCTATGTAGCAACCAGTAAGCTAACACGGACTACACAGGAGCTGCCGCCATGCTCCCATGATGAGCCTTACCAGGAGATGAGAAGCCCCCAACTCGGCAGGGAACGCCGCGGCCGAGTCTTCCAAAGGAGCGACATTATTGACTGACGATGTCCTTCTTTCCCCTGCGTACTCGCATTGTTGACGTAGACGTGCGCAGAGGGAGCAAATCGGCTGCTCTCCAGGGCACTTTGCTTTTTTACGTCTTTCGGGCATTAGCAATGCTCTACGCGGGTAGATGTTGGGGCAACTGACCTGCAAGGTTCACAGGCTTGTCGCACTCTTTTCGCCGGCCTTTCACTGGTTTCACGGTCCATACTCTTCAAGGCCACTTGGACAGGTTCTTGTAGAATACCTGTTCGAATGATCCAGGTTCATATAACCGGGTCGCGTACCGAGGTATGCAAAAACGAAGCGAGAGGCTCGGGACACAACGGTACCCCTATGTATTAGATATGCTATCATGTATAATCCCTTCCATAATATCACGGTTCCAATAATATCGCCGGGGATGACTCCTCTCTGAGGTAAGGAAAGTACTTCGAAGGATGTACCAAATGAAAAGGTATATTGGCAGCAGCACAAGACAAACGTATAATACATGACTAAGCAGATATGCTGGGGGAGCCAATCAGAGCGACGGTAGAGGGAATTATTTCCATTTATTACGGATAACTAACCTATTGTGTTTGTAATTCATAGCAGATAGATGGGAGACTTTATAGTAGTTTGCAGTGATATATCTATGTTACTCAGTATATTGAGCCTATCAATGGACTTTTGAGAGGACCGTCCTGGTGGAATTGCTTTTCTGAACTGCTCTGCTTCACGCCCAATAGGCGTTACGGAAAACTTGATGACATCAGAAAATTCATCCGGGATCAGGCCATAATCAGCCCATTTCTCAGGTTACGAGACAGAGCTGAGGGAGCGTCTCCAGAGATTTGGCAAAGCAAGCTGCGAACAAGGAGTAAAACGAGGGAAACAATTCACGCATTGATTCCTAACGTATCTTATGTACAACGTCGAAATTCTCCCTCGTAACTAAACGACCACAAATCCTAGAGATACACCGCCAATTAATCTTGAACATGCTGTTTTGTATGGTAGAACAGGTATGAATTAGGCGAGGAGTCTATCTAATCCTTGCCGAACCAGGTCTTGTGGCCCTATTCCTGGGGTTAGCACGGGAGGCTCTGGAGCGGGCGCATGGGCACATTGGTCCCCAATGCGGCCGTTCAAGCTTAAATCAGTACTTACAAAAACCATGCGGCCCATAGCGTAGGTGGTGGCTAGAGAACATTAGTCCCAGTATACATACCATGAGAGGATTCAATCAGGAACTCACCAATGCCCAGGCCATAGACGGAGATAAGGTAGGGGTACATGACGAACTTGCTGCGCGAGGTCTGCACGGTGTGAGTATATTGTCCTTTGGCAAGCTCGGTCGTCCCAGCGAGGAGGGTGTCCGAGTTTCGGTCAACTGACCTTCCACCACTGGCGCTTGCCGTCGTGATGCTGGAAAAGACGCTGGTAATGGGGAACACGGTTCTCACGGAACATGAACCTAAAGCAGGCAGAGCCCAATGATTAGCAATTGAATGCGAATGATAGTGTCGAAACCACGCAATGGACTCAATTGAGCGAGCAATCAAGCCATGGACCGGGGGGCCCTGCCATTCCCGAGGGGACCACGCAGACCCGGTGGAGGAACAATTGGGAGTTTATCCAGGAAGAGAACATACCCAGCGAGGCGGGGGGCGGTGCGGAACATTTTGACGGTGTCAAAGTGCGAACGAAGGAAGCTGTTGGGAAGCAAAAGCGACGGTGACGGTGGGAAGACCAGGAGCAATGCTGAATCGATGTCGTGAAGTGTGGACCCGCCGGAACTTGAGGGATCACGTGAGATCCCTCATGCTTCCGCCTTGAGATGGCTTAGTCAGTGGGCTGTCGGTCTAACCAAAGCCGGCTTAGTGTGCAGGCGGTGTCGTGAAGAGTCCGCGGGATCAATAATATCATGAATCCATCCAGGTACAAACAGACAGAACTGTCCCTTCCCCCGTCCACTCTTTATGATTTTCCTTTCTATACGTCGATGCATTTTCTCGGATAGGGTGCTAGGGGAGAAGGATGCTTAACTATCCTTTGACACTCTTGCTTCTCTCGTTTCAACACCCATGCGACCGGCTCTTCTTCGACTCTTGAAGAGGCCTTCAGCTCTCCCGGTTCTCGACTCCCTGATTTCGAGCCCTGTTGGAATTGAACGATTGGACTCGGGGCTTCAAATCGAATGCCTTCGGTGTCATTCGCGGAACGAGCGCCCAAGTAATGACACCCAAAATGGGGGGCCGAACGACCCCGTCCACAGCAGACTCCGTCCACGATCGACGAAACCACCCCCGAGCTTTCGCGTCTATGAAATCCAGTCGGCGCAGAAGGAGCCGACCCGATCGAGCGAATTAAATGATCCGGCTGCTACACATGACACCGAAAACGCGCGGGTTCCCATCGGATTGCTGCCGGAAAGACTGGACTACGAGTCGGACATCGGTCACACGGATGACATGGGGACACGAATGGTCGACGACCAGACGCATAAGGATAACTTTCTACTCTGGGAAGAATTGCTTCGGTACAGGCAACGGCACTATGGGGATAAGGGCACGTTGGATATATGGGAGGGTTTGATGGCCCGCGTGGGTGATGTTGAATTGCCGGTGGTCGGCGAAAAGGCCGACCTCTTCTGGCAAAGTTTCGTGGATGTGGGCCTGAAGCGAGAGCCAATGTTAAGGGAGCTGGTCTCTTATTCTCTGGCACTATTCGAGAAAACGGGCAGACGGTGGCGCAATCTTTATGAAAGTGTCGTTGGAGGATTCATCAAACGAGGGATGACGCAGCAAGCTCTGCACTGGCACAAGAAGCTTCAAACCCCCCATCTAGATGGCCCCGACGATGTTCTGCGGGTTCTCGAGCCCGCGATTGCCCTTTCTAGCCAACATAAACACCAAAGTGTCACTCCAGGCAAAATGAAACGGGGCGCTCTGTCTCCCGGGTTCTGGGCGTTCCGAAGTATTTGCAGTACGACCGACGGCCATCAAATCTACGGACGTGTCATATCTGCGCTATTGCGGCATGGACTTTTCGAGGATGCACTGTCGATGCATAAATTCCTCATCCAGAGGGACGATCATCCGCAAGACTACGAAGAACTCCAGCCACTGCTGGATTACGCCAAGGAAAACGGGCCATGGACATTTTCCGAGAAACTTCACAGTTACGCAGCGGACCGTTTCCCTGACCAGAGCGAACCAGCGGAAGAGTCTCCGGGTGTTGGCGTCGAGGCTGGACCTGAGGATAAGCCACTCAAGGATGACTTCGGCGCGCGACTTTTCGCTACGGGAGCACTGGCTTTTGAGACGATCGTCTCAGGCCTGCAGATGTTCGGCGTCTCAGCCATCGGCCCTCACTCCCTTCGAGAGATGGCCGTCAGAGCTCATGGCAGCCAAGATATACTCGAGAAGCTTCGTCAGCTGCAGAATGCAGGAATCTCCCTTGGAGACTCGGTCTTTGCCCGTCTCCTTCGCAGGCTAGCCACTGAGAATCGGGAGATTCTCCTATCCGACCTGATCCACAGCGACCAACACCCCGACGTGCTCGAAGATTCCCACGTGCAAGAATCGTTATTAATATCCTCCTATATGGCCCGCGAGTGGCGCTTGTACCACCTGACGTTGGCGGTTCTGGGTGAGATTCCCGACGTCCGGTCTGACCTGCCCAGTCTCCATTTCCGCAAACACATCGCCGCCGGCGAATGGTCTCAGGCGTCGAAACTCGTCGACGAGCTGACATTGCGAGGCCAGACCCTTAGCCAAGAAAGCATCGATTTCTTGATAGCGCAGGTGCTTACCCCGCGCAAACCAGGGGCTCGACCCCCTCAGTCGAGGGGTCTCCCATCTGACCAGGAAGTGACCTTGGTCTCCCGCATCCTCCAGCGCGTCGCGTCTACGGGCGTGTCTATACCCACCGACCTGTGGGTTGAGATTCTGAAACGGTACGGGATGACCAACCATTGGGATGAGCTCCACGACTGCTGCCTCTGGTTGGCTCGCCACTATTCCTGTCGCTCTCCGCACGTGGATACCTCCCGAGTCCCGATGCTCCCCGAGAGGTCACACTCCGGGGTCCACGCAGGGTCCGGAGCCCACGCAGGGTCCCGGGTCCAGAGCATCCGGCAGCTGCAGGACATCTTCGACCGACACATGCAGGCGGCCATCGTCGCATGGGGGTTCCGGATGCGGATCTCCACCCAGTCCAAGAAGACATATAATCCGTCGGGCACTCCCGAAGGGGAGCTTGTGCCCTGGGTCCGCGGTGTCGTGCTCCTGCGAGAGCTAGGGGATAATGGCGTGGAGCTTCGCCCCGGCTGGATTCTCCGGGCATGTCGGCAACGTCTGGCGGTTCTCTACGGAGGAGCCCGCCATTCCGGCCGGCGCATGAATCGAATGCTCCGGCGCGAGAACCCATACAGCGTCGAGCGGGTGGTGAACGATCTCAACCGGGCGTGGGGGGAACCGGCCTTGATCCAGCATCGGGGAGGGAAATCACTCCAGGAACTGGTGAATCCCCCATTGTCGAATGTGTCCCTGCACCGGTCCCATCGCACCATGTTGAACCACGCGCGATACCGTGAGCCGGCATCTGTCCATCTCAGGTGAGGAGACTGTATATAGTGTATTATATTGGTTGGGGAATTTAGTGTATGAATATGTATGTGTGATTCTCACTAGTTCTAAGGTGAATGTAATGAAATCTATTCGTCTCTCCTCCCTGTCTGACAATGAAGAACATCAGCGGACGCTTATATACCAGAATAAATAGATCAGACTGGAGAACCAGTCTAGCTGATAAATTAATCAGGTCTATTGTTTTTGTATAAATACCATGTATAGTAAGTAGACAAATAGAAATTATTATTATATCCTTCTTTACCTCGACGGATTTGTTCTGTGAGTAGCCGCACAGCTAACTCAGTAGAGCGGTTCCCCACAGGCTCTTAGGGATCCGGTACGTCTATAGCGCCATCCCATGGGCCAGTCCTGGCGACGTGGCCCATATATGAAGACAATCGAGGCCTTGTATGGCCGGGTAAACAACACAGGCCTAAGCTCGCATCACTTGTGGCCATATCAGCTGGAGAGTCCATTTATCTGGCGTTCAGGGGGGGCGCCTTTTCGCCTCACTTCTTTCACTAGTAGATCAACACTCACATAATCAATGAGGATTATAGGTGATTTACTATCTTCTACAAACTGGCTGTTGAGGCTATATAACCCTGGTTAGTTGAGGTGTTTGGGTGATATATTTATGGAAAAGAATAGGGAAATGAATGTCATATCGCGGGCCATGAAGATAAGAGTAGCGGTAGGAGCATGTTTAATACGCTAAGAATGCTATGGTTCTGACTGCTATTTATTTTCCAGATTTGAGACATTAAAAAAAACCACCTGCACAGTTGTATCGTCTCGTAGACGCCGGGAGGATGGAGGGCTGAAGGCAAGTCGGCCGGCTATCAACTCGTGATGATTTCCACCAAGGGAATTACGCACCAGATGCACAGCGGCGTTGTCATCTTGGACTGTTGTTCTCTCCTCCACAAACTTCCAACTCACCCCGTTCCAAAATCGACCAAAGTCGAATGGTTCATAAGTCGGCTCCAGGCTGCTGTTTCTCTTCTCGGCTGCTCCCGATTCTAACCATTTCCCTACTAGGTCGACTGCCTGATGATTGGAGAGCATATCCCATAAGCCGTCTGTTGCCATGATCAGAAAAGAAGGTTGCCCAGGGTCGATTTTGGTGCTTGTCACAACCGGTTCAGCCGTCAGATATGGTGGCGTTCGGATGTCGTAGCGTGGTGTCAGAGGTGGTGGACCATAGAATCTCCGCTGTATATCCTGCTGGAACTCCAAAGGCCATTTCCACTGACAATCGCCAAAAGCTCGCGAGACCATAATCCCGAGCACTCGTCCATTTTTGACGATGTCTTCTTCACCCGGGTGCTCCTGATGGAGCCTGGCGATCTCCTCTTTGTTTTTGCCAGTCTGGTCTACTGACAATGGAATTGCTTCCCATGTGCCGTCCGGCCTTTTCTGCCCCAAGACTGCCCTCGAATCGCCGGTACACGCCACATGCAATGTGCTTGTGATAGAATCGTACATAGACAGCAAAGCGCATGAACCGGCATAAGCGGGGGCTAATTTCTTTACCTTCTCTTGCAACGGTTCTTCGCTCTGAGACGTATCTAGGGCTGTTTTGATGATGGAATCGTCGAGGCTCACGAACCCCTTTATGATAGCGCGCTGCACTGATTCCTCGGATAAGGAATCTTCGTTTGAGGGTGGTTTGACTTGGCTCAAGCTGTGAAGGACGAAAGGCAGGAGCTGCTTCTTCAGCAAATCTGCTGTTTGCCAGCCTGAATGACCGTCAAAAACAGCCCAGGCCATCCACTGATTACCCTCGTTCCATGGTGAAGGAAGTTTACCATGGGTGGACTGGTCCTCGCATGGGCTATTGGAAGCTAATTGAGCACCATCGTATCTGCTGACGCCGGCAACGTTTCTGACCAGAAATGAATATGCTCCTTGCGATAGGATATGTGTCACTTGGTCTTTAGAAGGACCCGGCTCAACGCCCCAGTGCTCAGCTGGAGGACTCTCAAGATGTGGCACATCGTCGCGGGCCGCATCGTTGCGGGTAGATACCAACCACCAAAGGCCTGGTGTACTGACCACACTGGCAATCGCGATGTATCTCATCAAGCTCGAGGATGAGCCAGAGCCTGCGCCAGAGCCTGAGCCAGAGCCAGAGCCAGAGCCAGAACCCTTGGTTGAATAGGAATTCTTGGCCCAAGTTCGTGAGATTGATGTTGTGGACACGCGGAGACGCATTCGAGTCACACCCAATAACAGCATTGTTGCTAGAGTGCGATTGAAGAGGGGAGGGGGCGAGTATAGCAAAGAGCACGGACGAAGCTCGAAGATTCGTTCTCTCAATGCGATTATGGGAGAAATTGAGACTGCATGGTTGCCTCCTCAGCTCGGACAGGGGGAAACGGATTGCGTAAGTTGTCACTTAAACGGAGTATCAATAGATACAGCCCGACTCAGTCCGACTCCCCATTGTCTTCAGGTATCACGTGTTCTTTACGATAATCAAAAGAATTATCATTTCGAAGCTTTACATACCTCAGGAATGACAATAGTGATATTCTCTATAGAAGTAGTACTCTAGGTGAAGCCCCAGTATTAGTGGACTAGAGTTGGACTATAGAAAATCGAATAATTATACTTCTATAATAGAAAACCCCGGAGTAAACCGAGTGATAGCGGCAGGTCATATCGAAGACACCTATATCTAGAGTTGTCTTGTTCTTTGTTTGTTGGGCGATCTTACGCTCAGCTAGGAGTACCTACTTGAGAAACTATCATCTTTATTCGTCTATCACCTATACTTATCGCATCTATTGACGGACTTTGTGATTCACACCTCGACGGGCGAGTAGCTCAAAGTATTCATAAAGGCAGCGCTAGTATCCATTATATGTATGTTTAGTATAGAACCCTATGAGCATGATACCTTCAAACTGTACAAACATCCCAAGACCGCGCACCAGACCATCCACGCGACCGTTGAATGAGGAGATGCAAGAGATACGTCAGCTGCAGGTGTCAGCAATAATCACCACCTCAGTCTGCTGTACGATGTCAACCCAACTAGTGTCAGTAACTATTTAAGTATAGAGGAGGTAATAGGTATCCATATTCCATTGATGTGGTGAGGATGGGAGCCTGGGGCAACGGGCGGTAAGCAGCGGCGGTAACCATACGCCACCCTGTAATAAGACGGTAATAAGACAGCCGCTGAGGCAGGGATCGACCGTTAATGCATCACTCCAGGGAGCCTGATTGTAAAGACAATACGTTCTAAGAATAAGTCCAGGCAACGCGGCCCAGACTCCACCTCGGATGCAGCCACCAAATCCCATTCATCCACCGTCCGATCGACGCAGTCTCCAACCTATCTCATCCTCTGATCCTCATGGTCGATCGTGTTGGGTTGCCTGGGAATTCATAATTAAGACAAATGACAATAAAAATAACAATAATGACTCCAATGAGTGGGGTTTGTTTCTCAACCTCCGGGCTGTGTTTTTCGCTGACGTGAATGGACTGTTTTCCTTTTCTAATTCTCTTTGTTTTTATATCAGCTCTTGTGTCATTCTTGATTCTTCCTGTGACACTTCATTGCTATTATTATTATTATTACTCTCTCTGAAACATCTGGTGTCTTTGGTTCCTCCCCTTTGGACCCATACTTTCTCCCCACGAGGGTCCAGCCAACTTGACAAGTACCCTTGCTCGTCATTTTTCTCTCCTCATCGCCGCTTCATTTCCCTTTTCTTTGATTTCACATCCCTCGTGCATCCTGCAATAGATCGATATTGTTCACCATAGAGTATCATATCAAAGCGAGCCACTCACCATGCTCGGACTCGGCGTCTTAGCCCTCCTCCCCTTCGCGGCGTCCAAGGCCATCTTCTCGCGCCAGACAGCTTGCAACAATTCTCCCGACCTGTGCGACAAATCCTATGGCGAGATTACCCATCTGGGGGCGCATGATAGCCCGTTCGTGCGGGATGCCTCGACGAGCTACTCGACGTTTGGGAATCAGTGAGTTGGATACCCTGGGACTCTGGCGCAAGATTCGTGTGTATTGACTGTCGCAGGTACTTCGACACGATCGTCCAACTCGACGCTGGCGTCCGGATGGTCACGGCCCAGGTTCACAAGGAAAGCGGAGAGTGGCACCTATGCCATTCGCTGTGTGAAACCATGGACGCAGGGAAACTGAGCTCGTGGCTGGGGAAGATCAAGAAATGGCTGGATGATAATCCCAACGAGGGTATGTGCTGACTGGACCCGACCTTCCACTTGGTGGAAATTTGAATCAATCATGCTGACTTTCGGGTGACAGTGGTGACAATCTTACTGGTCAACTCGGACGACGCAACGGCGAGCGACCTGAACTCGGAATTCGACAAGGCCGGTGTCGTCAAATACGCCTACAAACCGACGTCGACAGCCGCCCCCAGCTCGTGGCCCACGCTGCAGAAGATGATTGACGACGGAACGCGGCTAGTGACATTCATCTCGTCGTTGGACAGCAACGCCGGTGCGCCGTACCTGATGAACGAGGGAGACTACATCTGGGAAAACGACTACGACGTCAAGTCGCCGTCTCAATTCTCGTGCACACCCAAGCGACCCAAGGAAGTCGCCAACAACGTAGCGACCGCTAAAGCCTCGAACCGTCTTCCCATGCTCAACCACTTCCTGTACGCCGGATCCTCAGGCGTCATCGACATCGAATACCCGAACGCGACCTACGTGTCGACGACGAACGCGCCGAGCGGCGGCGCGGGAAACCTCGGCGACGCCGCGAAGAAGTGCAAGGGCGAGTGGGGCCAGTCGCCGTCCTTCATCCTGGTGGATTTCTTCAACAAGGGCCCCGCCATCGACACGGTGGACGACCTCAACGGCGTGAGCAACGCCGTCGGCCGCAAGGACCTGAAAGACGCGGAGAAGACTAGCGACGCGTCGACGTACCACAATGTGTTCAAGGGTCTGGTCGACGTGGTCCAGAAAGCCAAGACGGGAGGCCATCCCAGCATGGGCGAATGGGTCTGGGCTGGTGGAGATTGGGGGAGCCTCGGCGGGGGGATTGCCGTATAGATACTTATCTTTTTTTTTTCTGTTTTCTTTGTTCTTTGTTAAAGCGGGAAGCTTGATTGATTTCGGTGGCAAGGAATATAGCGTTGCAAGAGGCTTTCCTTCCTTGTGTGATATTTTGTTTTGGCTTGTTTTATTTCGATTACCTTGTGATACATATACATGGCAGGGACAGACCGCATCGGACCGGCGTTGCAGGGTTCGTGATGATTTACGGACGACATGATGATTTGTTTAGTGTATAGTTGAATGATATTAGATAGTTATCTACCATGTTGGAACCATTACTCCTCCCGACCCAGTAACTCACGCACCTTATCCACCTTATCCTGGAAAGACTGTTCCTTGTCGATTCTAGGCAGATCAGGTCTAGTCAGCGGGTGTACCAAGGGTATAAACACAATCGCAAAAAGTAAAAAAAACCACAAAATGAACACAGAGGAATAAAAAAAAAATAGAGAGAAAGATACCTCGACCCAACCCGAATATCCGTCTGAATGCGCACAATCCCCTGCTGATGCAAGATGGTATGCGCCTGGCCGATAACCTGGAGAACGCGATCCCAGGATCCTTCTACATTGTATTAATGATAAATTAGATTAAGGGTCAGTTGACTATCATCCCACGGAAATGCATATGAATATTATATGTATGAACCAATAAAAATGACAGGAGAAGGGAAGGAAAAAGGAGGGAGGGATACCGATAGTGGTTCCGGCAGAGTGCATGACGTATTTTACACCGGAGGACTCAATGAGTCGCTGGACGTCGGCGATCTGGGCGGAGACGGAGGGGGAGGAGGTTCCGATCTGTTTGTTATTAGTGAGTTTAGGTTACTCATTACTAGGTAGGGGAATTTGAACGGGATTGTGGGAGACAGACTGGGATGAGGCAGAAGTCTGCAACGCAGTGGGTGGGGGTCGGGATGGATGTCATTTTGGAGTGTGGTATTGTAAAAGATGGATGAATGAAACAGCTGAATTGAATTATGGATATGAAGGTGGAATGGATGGTGGAAGTTGGAGGATCGGAGGGAAGGGAAGTGGCATGTGGTGGAGATGGAGTGGAGTGAGTGAGCGAGTGAGTGTGGGGTGTCCGACAGGTTTGTTATCGGCCTACTCCGTAGTACGGAGTATATAGGAGGAGTATCAAATATTGTCTTCCAAAGTACCTGGGTACTGAAGTATATAACAGTAGTACATAGTAGTACTGGCAGTATAGGATATATGGTGTTCTCAACTCAGTCTAGAGACAATAGGCAGAATCATGAGATCAAGTACTGTTCGCTTCACCCGCTGGATATCCCCATCATGGTATTATGGCATTATGGCATCTAATCCTTAGCCCACGTCTACAAATCATACCGTATATAATCAAAAAGACACATACATACCAAGCTCGTCGCTGCTGATATCCCTGCCCGGCATATCGCGCCTGCGGAAACGTATACTGATCTGACAGATCATCCGGATCGCGCGCGGGCATCAACAAAGCACAGTCAGACCACCATTCTCGGAGATATTGACAGATCCGGTGGAGTCGGGACATGTCTGGGGGTTTTCAAACGGACAGAAGAAGCCAAATGGAGTGGTGGTGGTTTGGAATCTGATAAGATGGATGGTGGTGATGACGTGAGAATGAAGTCATTTCCACTGGGGATCTAGAGCTGGTTCTAGGGTTCAATGGGTCTATGTTACTAGGATAAGCCTTTTGAGTAGATCTATAAATGATGTCGCACTGTGAACCATGATAGATCGATCATGTTTTGGCTAGATGGCAGCCGAATGATAGACCGGGGGTATCAATTAGGGCTTGAAACGTGTACGACCTCCTAGTATCTACTTGGATACAGAAGGAAGGACTGGGATTAACAACATCGATCTTTCCTCTTCCCTCCTATCCTATCTTAGATATAAGATAGAAGCTCTCCAGACATCATGAAGCCTCTCAACCCAACACACTCTTTACCCTCACTCTTTAACTTAATATACCAACATCCTTACCCACAGTCTTTACCCACAGTCTTTACCATCCTTTGACAGGAACAATCACAATGTTCACTCATTTCAAACCCATCACCCTGGCGGTCTCCCTCCTCACAGCCCTAACAACAGCCTACTGCATCCCCATCAACTCCGGCAGCACCATCCACACCAAAACTTTCCCCTCCCCCAGCAGCACCGTCTACCCCAGCACCGTCCCCACCACCAGCGGCACTGTCCGCCCCAGCTCTGTCCCCACCACCAGTAGCTCTGTCCCCTACGGCGTCATGATCCAGCAGTGCACCCAGCCGGGCGTCATCGCCCTCACCTTCGACGACGGGCCCTTCACCTACACGCCCGCGCTGCTCGACATGCTCGCCGAGTTCGGCGCCCACGCTACCTTCTTCGTTAACGGAGAGGGTACGAACTTTAAGTATGCGGACTACGCGGCGGTCATGGCGCGCATCGTGGATGAGGGACATCAGATTGGTTCTCATACGTATGTCTCTCTACCTTCCTTACCTTCCTCTCAGCATAACATCAACGAAAACTACTAGACTAAAAGAATGAGAAGAAAGAAAGAAGAGAAAAAAAAAACTAACGAACCCCAGCTTCTCCCACGCCCACCTCACCTGGATCTCCCCCGACGCCGTAACCGAAGAAATGACTACCCTCGAGTCCACCTTCCAGACCAACATCGGCCGCATCCCAACCTACATGCGCCCGCCCTTCCTCGAAGTCGACGACAGCGTGCTCTCCACCCTGACCGACCTGGGCTACCACGTTATCGGCACGGACCTCGACACCAAGGACTACGCGAACAACAACCCGAGCAGTATACACAACAGCGTTGAGCATTTCCGCCAGGGTCTGGACGCGGGGGGGTCGATTGTGCTGGCGCATGATGTGCATGAGCAGACGGTTGAGGTGTTGGCGAGGGAGATGTTGACGATGGTTCAGGAGAGGGGGTTGACTGGTTAGTTCCTTTTTCTTTTCCCCTTTTCTTCTGTCGTTTTCAAATGAAGACGGTGTGCTAACCGGTGCCGTTGCAGCTGTCCCTGTTGGCGAGTGCCTGGGTGATCCGGAGGGGTCGTGGTATAAATAGATGCGGGATAGATGTGTTGCTTGGGTTCGTGGGCAGGTGAGGTACCTTTGATAGGTACCTCCTATTGTTACATTATTCTTCTTCTTCCTGGAACCATTATATATTCTTATTGCATTGAAAAGGACACTCCTTTTGATTCTGTTTCTTCATTAACAGTGTAATTAACAGATCCTCACCAGAGGACAAGTAGCAATACAGTATACACGAATAGTAACAATCAATCATCATACACACCTGTCGTGGCTTTCCTTTCCTTCTTTTTCCTTTCTTGCCGTTCCCCTTTCCTCCCACGTCCGAAGCTCTTCCATGCAACATCCACATTAAATAAATAAACAAACAGAAAGAAACACAAGATAATTAAACCCCCCCACCGATCAAACCCAACCAGCCCAATCAAATAACCTACTGCCTCCGCGTACTCTTCTTCATCGACTTCCTCTGCGTCTTCTCGCGCTCCCTCTCCAAAAACTTCCTCTGCTCATCAGCCGACAGTCCCCTCAAGATGCGCTCGCGCTCCTCCTTCTTGATCTTCTCCGCGGCGAGACGGCGCTCCTCGGCCTTCTCCTCCTCGTCGGCGCGGCGCAGACGCCGGATTTCTTCCTCGCGCGCGTTGCGCACTTTGCGCGTGACTTCGGTGCGGAAGTGTGCGGACGAGACGAGCTTGTCGGGGAGGCGCAGGTACTGCGTGAAGAGGGGCATTGTGTCGATGTAGCCGGTGCTGCTGGAGGGGAGGGTCATGGAGAGTTGGATGCGTTTGCGGGGGATGGTTTCGTCGATTCTGGTTTATGGATTAGTATATTCTATTGGTTTATTTACTTGCAAGGCAAGGGAGAGGAAGGGGAAGGGGCTCACTTCTGAGGCTTGTCAATCGGCTGGTCCGTCACGATCAGATACTGGAAGTTCTCGCCCGCCTTCTCAACGGCGGAGATCAGCTCCGGGGTGAGCAGGGCGTCGGTGATTTCGGCACTCTCGGTCATGATAGTCACCCAGGGGGGCAGCTTCGCGTGGTCACGGGTGAAAGTCATCGAGGCATCGTAGCGGTCCTGACGGAACTGCTTCATGTAGTTCTTGTGCACAACGGCCCAGATGAAGGGATCGTAAGACGAGTTGTTAACCTTGAGCGGGGTGGCGTCCTTGGCAGGCACAGGGACGAGGTCCTTCTCCTTGCCGTCGAAGGTATAAGCCACAGCCTCGCAAGTCTCCGTGGGGATCGACCATCCATCGAACAGGAATCCGAGCACGTGGTCCATGATGTAGGTGACCGGGTTAGAGCGCTTAGGCAGCTTGATCGTCACGTCGACGAAGGCCACGTTCTGGCGGCCCGTTCCGTACGCGACGAACTCCTGCGTCGAGCGCTCCTTCAGCATCGACTCGGGAGAGGCCAGCTGCTGCGCGGGAGCCTGCTCGCTGTTGTCCTCGCTGTCGCTCGGAGCGGGCCGCCGGATGCCGTCGAAGCCGACGACTGCGAACTCGCTCTGCATGGCCGGCGTGTGGGCCTGCGCCCACTGCTTCGCGCGCCGGCGGTTCTTGCGGGTGCCCCAGACGTGGAAGATGACGACTAGGATGATGAATGGGAGGACCATTGCCTCCTGCATGAAGTCCTTGGGCGAGGTCCGCTCCCACACGCGGTACCATTTGGTGTAGGGGACGGAGCTCTCGGCTCCGGCTCCGAAGGAGGGCACTGCCGACGATGCCGCGGGGATAATGGATGCGGGGGATGGGTCGGGAGCTCCTACGAAGTCGGCGAAGCCTGATGAAGAGAAGAGCAGTGTTAGTGGGTGTTGTAGTGTTGGGCCAGGGGTACGGCGATGCTTGAGGACATCTTACCATCGTCGACTGTGGGTGACTCTGATGGCTGACCGCCAAAAATGTTCTTCAACACGCCCGCCATTGTGACAATTGATGGGGGGGAAGGGAGAAGAAAGAAGGGGAGGAATAATAGAGGGAAAAGGCGGAGAGGTGGAGGAAAGGTGGAAGAGAAGTTCGAGGTGGCTCGAATTGACGTCGGGGTGAGGTTAAACTCAACGCAGTTAGTGCGCCAAGACCTGCGATAGCACGTTCCACGACCTCAACGGCGAACCATGTCTTCGTCTTTTCCCCAGAATTTAGCGCTAGAAGTGGTAAAATGACATATGGTAACGATCAATTTATACTATGTAATCAGACCCAGCGCTCCGTTCCATCCACCCGTCCCAACCTAGAAAAAGAGCGAAGAAGTGGTATCCTATGTAACAATGCAAAATCAAGAACGCCGCTAGGTCTAATCCAATCCAAAACATAATACAGCTCTAAACGCTCCAAGGAAAAAAGAAAAGAAAGTCCACAGAATTAAAACCAGGTCATATCAGTCGTCAAGAACCGGGTGCGGCACCCGAGTTCGTAAAAAGAGTGTAGGCCACAAAAGAAAGGTAGAAGGAGTGGATGAACGGTCAACCGTGGTCAACCATCCTGGACGAGGTAGGACATTGATTGAATTTTTCGCTTTTCGTTCACTTTTGTTGTTTTTACTGCCCGTATGCTGGCGGTGGGGTCTCCTCGGGCGAGTTCGTACGACCCCAGAAGGCGCCACCACAGGTGCCCGACGTCGGCAGCAGATTCTCGTCTCGCATGCGACGGGCAATTTCACCCGCCAGCTTCTCGACCAAGGCGGGGTCTACCGAGCTGGACGCGGGTTTTTCTTCGGTAAAGGGGAGGGCGGCCGAGGGGAGGTCCCGCAACGGACCGGAGTCCCGTTTTTCGCTGTCGCGGCGACGGTTCAAAGCGTGAGTGGTCGCGCGGGGAGTGACGTCAACGTCGCCCGGGCGCGGCTGCGATGTGGACGAGGCTCCCTCCGTCTCGCGCAGCATGTCCGCGGTGATGTCCCGCCGCGGAGCGGGGTGGGAGAGACTGTTCCGATGGCGCTCCGGGATCACAGGGAGCAGTCGGTCACTCTCGGGGGACAACGGCGGCGTTACCGGATCATCGGCCTGCTCGCGCACTGCCGGCAGAGGAGCGGAGCAAACGGACGGGGTGCTGGTGAGCTCGCTGTATGCACTGTCGTCGCTCGTGCTGACGGCGTCGTCGGGATTTTTGGGGCGACGGAGATCCACCACCCGCTTCTTGCGCTTCCGGGCGTGTGATTTCGAATGGCGACCCGCCCCCAGGCTCAACCCGTAGCTGCTAAAGGCGTGCGTGGAGGCCGACGATCGCGTGTGGGCCGACGCGACGCTGGCGTTATCCTGGAGGGAGGAAAAGCCGCCGACCTGAGACTGCGCCCGGGAGAGGCCGGGGCTCATGGGCGACAGCACGCCGCCGCCGGCTAGGTCGGTCTGATCGGACGGGGAAGTCCACGCACGATACACGACTTCGTGGATCGACGGGGTGAAGAGTGACAGGGTCCGCTGCGAATCGGTCAAGGCGCCGAGTCGTAGCAGGTTCTTCTGGGAGAACAGGGAATGGGTTTCGACGGAGGAGTCGAGCGACAACGATGCAATTTGCGATTCGCTCAACACGTTGCCCATGGAGTCGACCGGATCCTGCGGGGGACTGGCCAAGGGATCCGAACCGGGGCCTTCGACCGCGGCCACGTGATCGGCCTGGTTCTGGATCTCCTCGCCCGCCCGGTACTCCGGGACCCAGAGTCGCAGGGATAGGCGATGAATGATGGCGGGGAGCTCATCCATGAAGAGGATGCGAAGCTGGGCCTCGATCTCGCGTTGTAAGAAGTCGCGGACGAAAGGGATGGAATCGAAGGTCGACGAGACCTTGAGCGACTCGAGGGGGTCATTCCGGAAGACGACGGTGATGCCTTTCTGTTTTGAGAAGACGAGGATCACGAAGCCGGAGAGTTTGAAGTCGGAGAGGGTGATTTGTAGGGGGATGGTAAGTGGTGTTCTAGAGAGCCGACCGGTTAGCTGGGACTGGACTAGATGGCTCGCTTCTGATGTATAGACCGGGGGATTACTTACGCCGCTGCCAAGGGCAAGGGAGAGGCAAAGGAAGGTCGTGTGACGAGGTAGGTATTTAACGGATTGGCCTGAACGCGTGTTTTGAGGGTAAGAAAGGCATCGCCTGAGTAGGACATTTTAAAGATGCCGCGAAAGCGATCCTCCGCGAGATCGCCGATCTCCAGGATTTCCAAATCGGGCGGAACGGAGCCCAGATTCAATTCGGTGACGAGAATATCATCGACGATGATGGGGGGTTTAGGAGATTTATTGAGAGCGGCCGTCAATAGCTCCTGGGCGCGTGTGTAGAAACCCGCGTCGGCCATTAAAGGCGACCAGTTGAAGTTGAACGCCATAGCCGCTCATTGAGAGAGGGATGGGATGGAGAGATCCCAGCGACCCGGATAGAAAGGCAAGTTGTAGGGGGGAGGGGGGGGTGCACGATGTGATATCGATAGGAAGAGGTCCTCTAAACCATGAAAAATGAAAATATGGGGAAGAGAGGATCAAACGGATAGAATGAAGATGGGGTGGAGGAGGCGAGAAGAGAGAGCGAGCGAGACTAAGGCGGGTTAAAGAGCGAAAAGCGGGAGAAAAAGGAAGGGAAAAAAAAAAAAAAAAAAAAAAAAATGGAAACTTGGCGAGCTTCCAGCCTTAACCCCGAGGCTGCCAGGCCGGACCGAGTTTGATTAATCTTACTCGTGTGATCACTTTCTGAGTATGATAGTCTCCTAGGCCCTTATTAGAGTTCCTCCTATTTAATTTATTCTATTCTTATTGATTTCGTCCTTTCTTTCTATCAGATTTTATTCGATTTAATCATTTGGTGTGGTGTGATAGAAATTCGACCAAAAAGGAATCAATTGCGACATGAAAAACCAGAATCAAATTAGAGAAAAATACGTCACTGCCCAGGCCTCTAGTAAAGCATCCTCTCCACTTCCTTTCTTCCGATCCCCTCCGAAATGGTTGATCCATGATGGACAACCCCATGATTCGGTAGTTAACGAGGAGGTTTTTCATCTAATTTTAACGCGAATATTATCCTTTCCCGGAGTGCACGGAATACTCCATCTCTAGAATCTCTCCCCATTCTTGACAGAGCGGGACCTGGCGACCACATTCCTATCTGGGTCAACCTCTGAATGATTCTGCCCGTGCCCACGGGCTGGAAGAAGTAGCGTCCGTGTCGATCCCTGCACGTCAATCTTTTGTTTTCTCTCTATCCTGGAGGACAAAGACGTTGTGTCTGCAGGCTCAAGGGGGTCATCCGGTGGAGACTCGCCCTTAATGTAACACAGTACCTACTAACGTAGTAAGTACTGACACTACAGTTACAACTCATGTGGCTGTGTTGGATGACTCGATAAATACACCAATCTGATTGCCAAGATGGACGTGACCGTCGCCATTTGTAATGAGTACCGTTGGCGATCCCCCGACCGGTCATGCCTTGAAAACTGGTTCTGAACACACGGGAGGAAGCGGCAGAGACTGTCATTTCGGCTCCGCTCAAGAACATCATCCAACACGAACAGACTTTTCCAAATCGTATGTGGAGCCCTAATATCGCACCATTGTGGGATGATTTGGGTGTTCTTTGACCAGTCCTCGATGGCTGCATTGGCTAATATGGAAGGATAACTATGATCCTTTTAGTGATATGCAAGCTTGATGCCCCTTGCTACTAGGGTCGTCATTCCGATGGAACAAGGAGGTATGCCGTGAGACAGCCGGTTGTCTGACTGGGGAGGAGAGCTCCACTGTACGATGGTACTTCTGTATGCAGGGGAAATGAGCATAATCAAAGGTAGTTCTCCGTACATGTTCGTAGGATGGAATCACGGTAATAACCTTGTTTGATCCCTTGCGTTGGTTAATGTATCTATACTTGGTAACAACCGATCATGAGTGCTCAGCATTAATCGATTTTATTAATTATGTATATGTACTATACCTACTCTCCAGTTGGTGGGATAGGATATAGACACTCGAGTCAACAAACATATCAGGTCCAACAACCCGCTTATTTACCACCTTCTCAACCTCTACATGTCGACGCTGAAACAATGTACAACCCGCAATGACTATATATAAAATACAGTGCTGATGTGATTTACACCACAGTCAGATGTTCCATTTTCAAATCCTAGAAGTCCAGATGTCTCACGCAAATACGAGACGCGTACATGCTCGGGTACCTGCTTCTTGACTGCTTCGTGGATCGTATCCATACCTCATGATGCTGATGCGCGAGACACTGCTCAGTTAACCAAATAGGAATTCAGCAATCGCGAAACCGGGAGAATGCATGACAGCAGGTCTCGTTCGTAGTAGCAGTATAGTATAATATCTAATACAGCCAGCAGATATATACCTAACCCACCGTCCCAGCAATCACCATCTGCCCCCAAAAATAAAGCGCATAGCCCACCAAAATCCTCCCCCACCCCCTCTTCCCCTTACCCCTCCCAAACGCCTCCAGCGCCACAAACAAATCACTCACGACAAACATCCCGGCCCCCAAAACCCGCTGATACGGCCACGGCGTCTGAAACTCCCCCGGAACAGTCGCCGCCGCCGCCGCCAACATCGCGCTGATGATCGCCGCATACACAGACACCAGCGGACGCATCTCGCCTGTAACCTCCAGGTTGAGCACGTTCGTCGCGCCGGACGAGCGCGCTGGGGGATAGATAACGCCGAGCCATTTAGCGAGGGCCATTGTAGCCAAGAAGGTCGTTGCGAGGATGGGGTTGGAGGTCTGTTGTGAGTCGCGGAGGAAGGCAGCGATGTAGGCTATGTGGGCGGCAGCGAAGGCGACGACGCCGAGTTGAAAGGACACTGTCGGTTGGCTCTTTTTCTCTTTTTTGGAGGCGTAGAAGTCTCGCGCGGAGGGGATGAGGAAGAAATCGCCGATTGTGGAGAAGATGAGGCCCGTCGTGATGTATTGGCGGTAGGGGACCCATTCGGTGGTGGTCAGGAGTGCAGGGCCCGCGGCGAATGCGACCGATGAGAGCATCTTGAAGAGGCCGGTTCCTGCGTGCGATCTGGAGTTGGACTCCGAGAGGACTAGGAGGGGGAGGGTTCCGAGGAGGAGGTAGGGTGCTGGTTGGGGGGGGAGTAAGACTGATAGTGACATTTTGATGTATTATTAGGTAGGTGAGGTGTGTAGTAATTAGTAGTAGAGAATTATGGTATTAGCAGAAGATGTGAAGGCAAAGAGCGGGGTGATGCTATTTTATAGTTCGCTCTGCAGGCTGACCCTAATCCACTTGGCGAATACTTCCAGTTAGTCGCATTCTCCCCACACTTGAAAGTGGAGAACGTAGTATTGTACCTGGTGAACAACTATAAGCGAGTTTTGAGTTAGTCCTGTACTATACTATTTCAGTTGCTTGATTCCATCAGCCAGAGTCGATCAACCGAAACTATGTACACAATATCTAGCAAAATGTTTTGAACCCGAAAAGTATACCATATATATAGTAAATCTAAATACAAAGAAACACGAAAATGGTTAAACTCCTGAATCCTCCTGCTCAATGTCATAATGCTCATCATATCTCACCCACGCACGGCAAGTATCCTCCAGCTCCCTCAAATTGGCATCAATCAACGGCTGGATCTCACTCTGTCTCTCAACAAACTGCAACGCAAACCCTTCCGAGGTATGCCACCCAACATGGCAATGCATCAGCCAAGCCCCGGGGTTATCCGTCCGGAACGCAATCACCAGGTACCCCATGGCGTCCAGCATAGCGGTATCCCTACGCGGCGGGTTGTCCGTATTAACAACCCCATCCCACGGGTTGACACCCTGCGCCAGGATATAAAAGTCATGCCCGTGGAGGTGGATAGGATGCCAGACGGGGTACGTCGTGTTGATAATCAGGTAAATCCACTCGTCGGGGTCCGGGAGGGAGATGACGGCGCTGGAATTCGGGAACACCGTCTGCCCGTTGTGCAGCTGCTGCAGCGTCGGGTTCTCCCAGAGGACTTCCATCGTCGTGCTGTTCAAATACCACCGGACGAGGTTGTTCGCGTTGAAGCCGAAATCCACGTCTGTTACGTTGCGCCAGTCTGCTGCTGCGACTGTCTTTGCGACCCATGGTTCTAGGGTGTCCATGGGCATGTCTTCGCACGAGTCGACAAAATCCCATGCTTCTGTTGTTGGTTCGGTTGGCTCGGCTCCGTAGTGTAGGATGCCTTTGATGTTTTCGACATTGTCGTTTTCAGAGCATGCTTCTTGGGGGATGGAGCGGATCCAGAAGGAGTCGGAGCCTGTGCCTTGGTTTGCTGTGACGATGATGTCGTATCGTTGGCCTGTTCTCGTCAGTCACTGTTTTCCTTCGGGGTGATCATCGAAATATCTGCTTTAAGGATAAGAAAGGGGAACGAACCCATTCCAATGCTGACGGCGTTAGTCTGGAACGGCCGGATGGGAACCAAGTCCATCCCAATGACAGTTAAATTATGACCATCAATCATGAACCGAAAATGAGTATCGATTGCCGAATTTACAAGTCTCAGTCGATACGACCTGCCACGGTCCACCTTCAACTTGAACCGCTCCCCAACCTCTCCATCATCGGTCTCATAGACATTCGTCCCGTTGATGAGTCCATTATCCAGCGTAGGCGGACCCTCCGTCTGCGCATAGTTGAAGAGCTCATCCGACGTCCGATGCGACCAGTCACTGAGAAACACCATCCCCTTATCAACATCATAGTTCGCAGACGCAGGCCCATTGATAATGATACCCCCAAAGACACCATTCCACGCCTGGAGACCAATATGCGAGTGCCACCAAGACGACCCGTACTGGACAGCACGCCATTTGTACGTGGTCGTCGACCCCGGAGCCGTGGGGCACTGCGTGATGGAGACAACCCCGTCGTGCGGGTTGGTGTAGTTCTGGCGGATGCCGTGCCAGTGGATGCTGGAGCCGTTCTGGGCCTGGTCCAGGCGGTTCGTGACGTGGATGATGAAGTGGTCGCCCCAGTTGCCGATGATCGTCGGACCCGGGATCGAGCCGTTGACGGCCATGACCTGGCGGGGTACGCCGTCTGGCGCCATCTCCATCTCGTCGATCGTGAACCAGTACTCGCGCGTGACGCCGGTGTTGGGTACTATGTTGTGGTAGTCCGTGTTGATGTCGTAGTTGCACCATCTGGCGCGGTCCCTGGGTAAGTTGCCTGGACAGGGGAAGCCCCGGGGTGGGCGGGTTGGTAGGCCGGGGAGTGTGGGGATGATGTCGGGGAGGCATCCTTCTTGATCTCGTCCGCAGAGGGTTGCGCTGGATGCTGTGCTGGGTTGTGGCTGATTGTCTTCGACAATCTCTTCGGTAGCGGAGACGGAGCTCACATTGGATCCGGAGAGGTTGTCTCTCTTCATGAAAGGGTTAGGGCTGCCGAAGTATACAGCAGCCGCACACCAGGCATACGTCAGGAGGAGGAGACGCATGATAACAAGTCCTGGGTATGACGCAAGGATCACAAAGTCTTTATATACAACTGGGTATCCGCTTTGATAATAGAAATCGATGCGACATGGACCACTGACCGGAAAATATCCGGCTCTTATACATGCTTCCGTCCGACGCTCTCCATATCAAATAAGTAACGACCGAAATATCTCGAGAAAAAGTATGGGGAAAAAACAAATACAACCAGACCCCAAAAAAACGTATATCTTACAAGCAGCAAGCCGAAGAGAGCATCGTCGCGTGCTCCAGCTGAGCCTCGTGGTCCCTGTTCGTCGCCATCCAAGTACACCCATCCATGCAAACAATTCGACCTCACGCCGACGAACCATCTCAATCAGGCCAACACTAGCGAAGTAGATAGTTAATATCTCGTGATCTCAGCCGCTTCATTGCTATCGTGTACCAATCAGACATGCAAAGCATGAGGTAATAGCAGACGTTGTATGGCGTCGTGACTCACATGTTTCGCATGAGAGCAAGCGTGATCCCACCAGATGATAAGACACTACTCCAAAGAACAAAGAAAAGTCTGAGCCTGAAGACCAGGGTATAGCTTGTCAGAAGGAAGGGGAGGGAAAAACAAAGCATCAGATACCTTGTGCCCTGTGGCCATATGCTGTCTCACTCGGCGACAGGAGAAGCGACAGGATACGAGAGTGATGTAGAGGGCTTGAACCGGCTACATCCCGGATCAGCAATTGTATCCAGGTCAGCCCGACCTAGGCAGTGATGGCAACATCCTAGGCGACGTGGAGAAGGGATTCGTGGTCTGGCGCTGGCTATCCGGCCCAAGTGGTCAAGCGGGTGGATATATGACAGCGATGGGCCTCTTCAGTTCGTCTCCGTCCATCACGTTGCTTGAATAGCATTATACTGCACATTGTCTACTCAATTGGCTCAATTCAAACATATCTTTCTTTCTAGACTCGGGGATCCTCAAGATGCTCCGTCAAATTCCGCTACTTTGCCTCTGTCTGATATGGCTGGGGATGCTGGGCTCTGCAGCCCCGCTGTGGAAACGACAGACACCAGCCACAGACGGAGACTTCAACATATACGCGTATGGCGAGAACATCAGTGGGCTTCCTCTCTATAACGCAGATGGTAAGAAAAGCACACATTCCAGTACCTTAGCAAACACTGCAGAGTCCACGCTGACGCGCAATGAAACAGGCCATGCCCATATCGGCGACCCAGCTGCCTCCGACGCAAACCAGAAGGGAAAAGTCCACTGTAAGCACTAATCCATAATATGCATTATACAACCCTACTAACACCAGCAGTCTCCAAATCGTCACAGTCTTCGCAAAAGTGGGTGGCTCACACTGACAACACCACATCCGGCCAAGGAGAATCCACCGCCGCCAGCACCAGCACCAGCACTCTGTCACTGAACGACGACGGAACAGTAGGCTTCACGGACTCCGACGACTCCGACAATTTCTCTGCTTATGGAAATTACGTTATGGTTCAGAACCGCGACAACGTCTATTACTATGCTGTACCAACCGGCAAGGCTGGGCAGTACTCGCTCAGGTGGAGCGAGACCGCACAGCCCAGTGACTCGGGCAGGGTTCCTGTCGTTCTGAGAACCGCTCCACCGGCAACGGACTCCGTCTTGCGTAAGACGTCATAGTCGTCGGGGAAGTGCGTGGTAGGACTCAGGTCAGGCGTGTGTTTTTTTTCAGGGGTGGGGCTCGATGATCTTGTGTATCGGTTGGGAGGGCAATGGACGGGATGGGATGGGAGATGTGGTGATGCATCCTGGAAATAGTTCCTGTTCGTATAATGTCGTTCTCAATGTGAAGTGGAATCTCACGAGGTGGCTTGTTGACAACCCGACTGTCTGGATCCCGGTGCGTTCGTCTTGAACCCAAGAATGTATCTTCCCTTCTCCCTGCATGGTCCGGTGTCACGCCCGGGACATCGACGTAGGACGGACTTTACGTGGCATAGTGGAGACCGAAGAGAGAGACACCTGCAAGCCACGATGGGCTCCAGCGGCGGCTGATATCCATCGCTAGTGAATGGGAGATTATATGAGAAGTCGGTATAGTCCCCGATCTACGAACCTTGTGTGCAACAAAACTCCGGGTCATCTCTTCCTAGGGCTTGGCCCGCCCCGTGCCCTCTATGTGTTGGTCTAGATATCCCACCCCGTAGCAAATGAGCGTTCGTAATTCGTCTGGTCAGCTCAATATTTGTTCCTCAGCTGATCGTTCTAGTCTTTCGTCGTCGCCGATCAAAATCATAGGATCGGCCTGTCTCGATCGATCCGGGGATATCCCGGTCAGATTTAGGCGACCACGCCAAGACATATTTCCATCCTGCATAAGGGTCTGGTTTCGGGATTCCAATCGGGCTTTTGGCTGTCTATGTTTGGCAATACGAGAAGCGGCCAATATAAACCAGTAGGGTTCATTTCGGAGTAATGTTATTCACGGATCTTTTAGGATTGGCTAAAAATACCCAGGAGACCGGCCTGGTCAAGCTGACCAATATATGAAACAGGTAATCTGCCTGGATATTACAGGGTTGGCCTCTATATTTAAGCTACTATTAGTGAAGTGCACAGCAGAGGGGCTGATGGGTCACCGCCGCCCGCGAGGTTTGGGCCAGGCCTGCTCCATCCTGCGTGGTCAATTGGTTTCCCCTCTCCAGTTGTTTTATCAACATGGTCACCCATCTCGTGGATGGAGTTCGCTGTCCTAAGAAACACCAGACCCTAGGGAGAAGTTGAATCCTCACTAGCCCTATAACATAGATTTACGCTGGCACTGGCAGCGGTCCACCTTTTAAGGCTGCGAAAGTATAATCAAGCCCTTATATCAAATGCTAAATTGAGTTCAGCATTCTACCCCGATCATGAAGAACAGCGTACCTGGCAGTTTAGAAACGGCCCCGATGCGGTTGACATGTCGCTTCTTGACAGAGGCGTCGGCGTTGGTCAGCGTCCCCGTTGGCGTCGACAGATAGATACCACGTCTTGCCTTTCAAACAAACCTGCTATCCATGTACACAACTCGCAATTCTAAGGTTTTGCTCAACGTAGGTATCCCTGCCGGCTCTGCATACCCAGCGATTGAAAACGGTCAAACCGGGCTGCTTCGCTTGGGAATGGACACAGTGCTTGGGAATCAACGTTGGTGTTGCAGAATGATCAAGCTGCATTCATGCTGCGTTGGGCAGCTTTTGGACGCGATGCTGCGAGACGGTCGCACAACAGCTTGTCAATGTCAACGACTCAACAGCTTGACCACGGAGAATCGGGCGCCGCTGTATGCGGTTGTGACAAGGACTATGGATACCCAGATGGTTGAACTCTATGTGGACCGACAGATGGGCTTGATGCTCATTAAACTTTATAAGAAAGAAGGGCGGGTATTCTGTCGAGGCTGAGTGGTAGGTTGATACAGGACTCTGCTTGTGGGACAAGCTTTGGTCAAGTCATCGGGGGAGCACAATGTCATCGCGGGAGAAACCCCCTTCTTCAAGGTCAGTCAAATTGGCTGTCTGCTTCGCCATCATTTGCTTCGTAGTGAGTGCACTTACCCGGAATATCCACCACGCGCCGCTGGTTTTTCATCCAAATCAGCGCAGCTCGTACGACTTCAGTCATCTTCAGGCTGTGTTTCCCAGTTATCCTCGGAGGATGGTTTTTGTATAAGTCAGGGACTTGGAACTCTTATCCTTGCTACTTTTATTGTTGTTGTTCTAGCAGTGAATACATTGTCATATTACCTACTCTAAGCCACGTACTAATTTTCACAAAGTCAACGTAGTTGAAGTGGATAGGGCTATTCTATGCGTCACCTGGGTTATTAGTGAACGTCTTCAAAAGGTCATTTGATTATGATTCTAACAAAGTCAACAGTCTATGAAATGGGGTTCCTTCTGTCTCTTATTACAATCTTGGCACATCATGATGCATATCTCTCCCTGCATATGTCTCATTCATTAAAATCAAACACCCATGACTTCTGTACTCTAATCAGTACTTCTGTACTCTAATCAGTCTCCAAGTCGCTTACTATAACATATAGTAATGGCTTGCTTGTATGAAGGAATAATATAGAGTATTTGTGTATTACTTTACAAAACAAACGGGGTATATGCAATCTGCCAAACCATATCTCCAACGTAAACAGACCAAAACAACTCAAACAATCAAATCCCACGAAGAGCTTTCCCACACTTCCTCAGCTGCTTATAGACAAGCTCCTTGGTCAGATAGTTCTGCGTCTCGTCAACAATCGTGCTGATCTCCCCGACCCCATCCTGCTTAATATCCGCCAACCCATTGGGGACATCAAACCGGAACAGCCGGCCGTCATCATCCAGCTCGCTATGCTCTTGGATAAACTTGTTCATTTCAGCCTCGGTGTTCGCCGCATCACCAGACACCTTCTTCTTCATCCCGAACGAGCCACGTCCCGCCGACCGCTTGATCGACGGCGTACCCGCCCCGATGGAAACCATGCACCGTAGCTGCCGCTCCAGGGTCCCCGACGGCCAGACGCCCTTGGCTTCGATCCAGACCTCGCGGATCGGATTGCCTGCCTCTCTGGTGCTGTCGTGGAATTTGCGATTGCTAGGACCGATGGCCACGGGCTCGAAGAGCCCCGTGTGCGCAAAGGTCGCTTGGGTGGCTTCCCACACCCGCGCGCTCTTGAATAGCTCGTTCGAGCTGTACTTGCTCGGGTAGCTGGTCAGTGACAGCAGCTTTTCGGAGCTGTCGTCAGTGACGCAGACGAATCTGGAGTGATCAAGGTTATGATTAGCTGTGCGACTTCTTCGCCGGGTTTGTGGTTCCGCTTGGTACTAACACCCTGCATGTAATATCGGCGTCTCGCAGCAGCGCATCCTTCTCGTACCCCAGTTCTTTGAGGATGGTCTTGAGCGCGGACTCCAGTCGTCGGCTGTCATATTTCGCCTTCGATCCGAGCCCTGTCCCTAGAGATAGGCGCTTCCGGGTAAAGACGTGCTGCATCAGTCTTTTGTAGGCGTGGATGCACTGGTAAATGTCCATCTTCAGTCGGCCAAGCATGATCGCTATCAACCTAGGAAAGTATCAGTATCATCCAGTCGACAAGATTGTGTGTGGCTTCACCTACCCTCCCGATCCAGTCCCTCCAATCATGTCAAAATAGTCGCATGGTTTGGGCGGATCCTCCGGGTTGATACATTCCATCAAGTGCTTGAGAATATGCAGTGAAGAGAGACCGCGGATGCCACCGCCGTCCAGGCTGAGAAGGCTGAGTGTTCGATCGGCCATTTTGGCTTGCGTGTGGATTCCACTTGATTGCTTAGATACGAGATAGTCTGATCTTATCTGCGATGCAAGACAGCTGCAGGGGCAATCATTTATACTAGTTTGGGTATGAGGAGTAGTGCGGTCTTTGCGACGATGGTATCGACTCTTTGGGCTGGACTAGCGACAGCCCCGCCACGTGTAGAGGCCAGGCACAAATGAGTCAGTTCCTAGTGGTAACTTAGTTCGTTGGGATCTACTAGGTGCTAAGTTAGATCCTCGTCAGTGGCGAGTGTGCAGCTTGGACCGCTAGGAGAACCTCGGCGTGGCTCATAGAACGAAGCGCCCAAGCCGTTCTGCTGTCGATGGAGCGCACATGGGATGATCGGCCAACGTTGAGACGAGCGATGTTCGATGATGATGCCCCGCTCTTTCTGACCGATGAGGCCATTGGAGGACCTGGCAGGTGATTCTCAGGCAATGCGGTTGGACATCATCGGGGAGACACGTAGCGGTCAACAAATCCCGCAGGTAGTGTCTCCGTGCCCAGTCAAACCGCGAGAAAAGTCAAACCTAAAAAAGAAAATAGAGAAAAGAGCGGATTCTGACATTTCGGTCTAGTCAGAATCCAATTGGCGAGTGAGAGAGACAGAAGAAACAACAGGGCGGGAAATCAACATGGTTGATTGGAGATTTTTGCCCTAACTTGATGACCCAAAATAACTCCGACACAGCCACAACTGTCTGATTGGCACATTTTTCCTCCTCGGGTCGCTACATGGAATCATACATGGAGTGACATCATTCTGGCCTGGCAATTGGTTCAAAAGCCTACAATCAAAGAATCGCCTGGAATTGATGATTTGTGACAGCGGAGATGCTGCTGAAGTGGAGTGATTGATGATAAGGTACAGTGTAGATCAGCAGATTGGCTGCATTGCCCATTAAGCCTTCAACGCATCGTGGCCCCAGTTTTTCAGCGATCGATAGCTCCGACTGTTCGTGTCCTGCTTCGCCCTCTCTTCCTGTGCGAGATGTCGCTTACAATATGACACCACTCGTCGCATATGGTCGACGTCCCCGTCCCTATACTCTGACGGGTCCTTGGCCGGGTTATGCTCAAGGATATCGACGATTTTGCGACCGCTGGATATCAACTCAATTCAGTCTTTGCTCGAGAGCAGAACGGGGTGACTAACCTCTCATGACCGATCGTCTCACCAGACTCGTTGCTCCATCCCGAAGACTGCGATTTCTCTTCCTTCAGCCAGTCGCGGAGCTCGTTGGGCGTCATGTTGACGATGTCATTGAATTCCCTGGTCGATTTGTTAGGACTATCATGATGGACACCAGTGGAAAGATCTCACTCAATGACGGTAGATTTGTCCTTGACCATCGTGATGAGATTATGAAACTTGGATGGGATAGGTAGATAAGTGCAAGTTTTATGGGCATACAATATGCATTGAACACAAAAGCTTATATACAAAAGCTCGCATAGGGCTGTGTCCTCATTGTCCTTGACGTCATATTATGAAGGACAAAGTCCCTTCCAGCGATGACGATGTGGGTCGATTGGCACTACGCTCGATGTTCTCGAACCTGTCATTGTCTGGTACAGTGGATGCTGCCGCCATGGCAAAGGTTATTGTTATGACTTCTCTGTTTGCTTGGAGAATCCCAACCTAATTGCTCAGTGCCGCGAAAAGTAACATTGAACTATAGCTTGATGTGCACTTACGAATAGCCACTAGACCAACATAATCCCTATAGCTGGGTCTGCTTTCAAACGCCAGGCAAAGTGGGGTCTAGCTATGGCCTCCCACTCCGCTGCACTGCTCATCGCAAGCGCGGGTCACGTCAGGGAACAACGAATCTTTCTGCATGATCCTCCGGCTAGATATGGCGATGGAGCTTCATGCATTTCCACTGATACGGTTTAGGCTGTTTGTAAAGACTATTCGAGTGTTAATATGTCGCCAGTGAGGGGCTGCGGCACGCAAGCGATGCACAACAGCATAATATATGCAGTTTGCGACACCGTCTATTAAAATTCGAATCATCGCTACTGTGATATCAAATCGTTGACCGCAAGATTCTGCATACCAGGACATTCTTCTTTCCTGTGTCTGTGCCATTCCCCATGTTAAACTCGGTTTCATCTTTTTGATTGTCTCAAGCGCATATTTCACGCCACAATGGCTCGGTATCCTCGCGTAGCGGTGGTGGGCACTGGACCATCAGGCATATCGGCTGTCAAAGCCCTCCATGAAGAAAAGGCCTTCGATACAATCCGCGTGTTCGAGCGCCGGAATAAGCCAGGGGGTGTATGGCATCTTGACCCTATCCCCGACGTCTTTCCTGCCCCGAAAAACCCATACAGCGCCCGGAAACAGATCCCCTCGACGCTGCCACAATTTTCGGCCCCGGGGCCCGAAGACACCACAGCACGCACAGGTGTTTATGAGTCGCTCGACAGCAATGTTGGGATCAAGGCAATGGAGTTTACTCACACGCCCTTCCCGGTCATAAACTCGGCGCTCTCCGTTGAGCGGTATGGACACTCAAATCCGACTCGGCCTTGGCAAGTAGTATCTCGATACCTCGATGACCTTGCCAAAGACTACTTGCATCTAATTTCCTTCAACACAACGGTTGAACGAGTCAAGAAAATCGGCGGAAAGTGGACGGTGACGCTCCGACGCACAGATATGACGCACCATGGCCAGCCAGCCGATTACTGGTGGCAAGAGCACTTCGATGCAGTCATTGTCGCGTCGGGACATTACAACGTCCCTCTAGTTCCGGAGGTGAAGGGCCTGGACGCCGCGTTCAAAGCTCATCCCACCAAGCTCGAGCATGCAAAATCATTCCGCTCTGCAAATGATTACGTCGATAAGAAGGTCGTCGTGGTTGGGGGCAATGTCTCTTCTGCAGACCTGGTCGCCGACCTCCACGCCATCATCAAGGGCCCCCTGTACGTGTCCCAGCGAGGCAGGAACGACGCGTTCCGCTTCGCATGGGACCTTCCCAACGTCGAGCTCAAGCCGACACTCCAATCCATCAAAGCAAGCGACGCAAGTATCAGCGTGACTTTCACCGACAACACCACGGTCGACAACATCGACAAGCTCATCTTTGCAACAGGATACCGCCTATCCTATCCCTTCCTTGACCCCGACCCGGTCACGCCCAACAACCGCGTAGCCGGGTTTTACCAGCACGTCTTCAAAGTCGGCGATCCGTCTCTCGCCCTTGTAGGCCAGGTCCGCGCAGCGATCAGTTTCCGCGTATACGAGTACCAGGCCGTCGCCGTGGCGAGGTATTTTGCAGGCCACAACGCGAAGCCCTTGCCCAGTCCCCAAAAGCAGGATCTCTGGGAATTTGAAAGGCTGAAGTACCGCGGCCCCACAACTGACTTTCACACTCTCAGGCCGGACTTTAAGGAATATTTTGACTTCCTCCGGGATTTGGCTGGTCCCCCTGCTGCTGGAACTGATGGTTACGAACTGCCGTCTTGGGATGATAAGTGGGCGGAGTGGGCGTGGGAGATTCCAATTCTGAAAGAACGGTATTGGAGATCTCGTCACCAGGATAAAACGATTAGCAATGCCGTAAGGGCGAAACTATGATTAGAGCTGTTTCATTTTGCATTATGGAATATAGTACTAGACTTATTGGGAGACAACGCCGTGGTTATTTGATTGATGAGGTCTGTTTTTGTTAGCGAACATACTATATGTAAATCTCAAACTCGTTCAAATATGCTCGAACGGTGATTACTCACAAGATATCTAAATTCTCTGTATGTCCTCTGAAATTGTAAAGAACGGCAGATGAAAGTGATAGACGTCATGACGATTGATTGGCCGGAATTCATATGTGCTTATATAATGTGGTTTTTACCACAGCAACGAAGACGCTAGGCCGTTTCCGGGAAAGCATCAATAAAGCCTCAGGCCCCCGGAGCTGCCAACTTCTCCGGACTTTCTCCTCACGTCGAATCTCTGCCGATCGCAGCTGTCAGGAAAACCGCAATATAACGAGTATAAATCCAGAAACCCACCTTTGAGGGCTTGGGCATCAGCAAACAATGTCTATGCTCTCATCACCCGTCGCCATGGGTGACACGACTCCGCAACAACGGAAATCGAAGCCGACGACGAAGCCACGCCAGACAACGCAACGAAGAGTCTACGGGAAACGGAGAGCGGACGCTGCTAGGGCGGTGTTTGATCAGAGAAGTCCTGCAAAGGAAGTGGAGAAGGCAAAGAAGACCATCGTCCAGGATGCGATCGAAAATATTCAAGTCAAGTTAGCGGAGGTTCAGTTGGACGAGACACCGGTACCGGAGGAGACAATATCAGAGAAGGAGACAGCACTAGAGCAGTGCCTAGAGACAGATGCGACTCCATCTTCCAATAATGAAACACCCGTACAGACCGTCGAAGTGCAAGACAAGCCGATCCCTATCGAATCCTCGCCTCCGAAGACATCCCCTATAACGGCGCCGAAGCGATACGAGAGGATGGTGGAAGTTAGGATTAGCACACGAACGTCCCTCGAGAAAAAATTGGAGTCACAGACGCCGGATCAGCCTACAACAACAAGTGATAAGGAACCCATCGAGAAGACACCGGCGCCGGAGAATGGCCTCGAATCTGCAACAGCAAGTGAGACCCAATCTGCAACGGCAACGGAGAAAAGATCGACGCGGAGAAAGAATATTTCCCCAAGGGTGTCATCTGGCTACGTCATGGATGCAAAAGCGAATGCCTATGTCCAGCCTATTCTAGACGAGGCACTATCCCCGGTCGCGGCAGGGAGCGTCCAGAAGTTCAGTTCGTGGGCAGCTCGTGGCGGAAACATGCTGCAGGTTGTCAAGATTGCGGAGGGCTCATACGGTGAGGTGTATAAGCTTCGTCTGCGCGAAGAGGTCTGCGAGAAGGAGATGTCTAAGTCGAAACTTGCGCGTCTCAGGGCGTATGGCGACGGCGTATTCAAGATTGTTCCTCTGCGTGCAAAGAGCGGCCCGGGATCAAAAAAGCATACCAGTATCAATGAGATCGTCTCGGAAGTGAGGATGCTCAAATACTTGGATCCAATCCCGGGATTTGCTCGCTTCAGGGAGATCCATGTCGTCCAGGGCCGATTTCCCGAATCTTTCCAAAATGCATGGGACTACTATAAAGAGACCAAGGATGACTGTCTCAATCCCAACCCATCAAACAAGAGAGCCTACCCCGATACCCAGTTGTGGGCAATTGTTGAGATGGACGATGCCGGGTGTGAGCTGGAGAAGTTTGCCTGGTCGTCTATCTTCCAAATATACGATATCTTCTGGGGCGTCGCCATGGCCCTTGCCCGTTCTGAAGAATATGCACAATTTGAGGTAAGAGGCTCACATCCTATAACATGAGAATCGAGAGCTGATTTATAATAGCATCGCGATCTCCATCTTGGAAATGTCTGCATTCGGAGTACACGGCCGGACGGCTGTATGGACCCTCCAACATCCACGGATATCATGTCCCGGTCGTCTGCAAGTGGCTTTGGTCTCAGCACCCTAGAAACTACAATCATTGACTACTCGCTCTCACGAGCGGAACTGCGATCCGTTGAATCAGGCGAGATAGTGGATGTTGCCTCGTCGGATCTTGACAAGAAACAGATCTTCGACGCCATCGGCCGTGACGAGGACGAGATTTTGCTGAGAGACACCTACAGACAGTGAGTCGCAATCGTTCACTCCATGCGACCCTATTCTAATATAATAACCAGCATGCGCGCAACTCTCTACACGGGGAATCCCAGCGAGGCCGAGAAGCCGGCTGATGTCCCAGGGATCTGGGCTGATTATGCGCCTCGAACAAATCTCGTCTGGCTTCTATTCCTGCTCAAGTCTCTTCTCAAAAACAAAAAGTCTGAGCCTACGCCGTCAAAACCGGCTAGGCAAGCCCTCGCTCCATGCACCCCCAACAAGACCATCAAACAAGCTGGGAAGTCGGGCAAGAAAGACAGCAAGCCTCAATCTGGCGTCCTCACTGTAGGATCACAGGACAAGGTGGTCTCAAAACTCAAAGACACGCTTGGAAAGAGACTCGATGCTGTTTTGGAGCTCCTGGATCTAAAGCATGGGCATGAAGACATGTGCTGTGCGGCGGATTTAGTCGCCTACGCGATGGACTCGCAGTGGCTAGATGAGAGGGACTTTTTCTAATACTTTGGTTGCATTACAGGGGGGTTGTATTGAGGCGCCTTGCATTTTTTTTTTCTGTTATAGATACACCCGGTCAGCATGGTGTTGGTTATTACTTTGGTCGATGATTTTGTTTGCATATATAGAGCGTGCAGGTGTTGATATATGGGCCTGGTGTTAATTATATGCTTGTTTATTATATTGACATAATCAATACATGCTTCATATTGTCATATAATTTGGTCAGAAATATGGACAAGGTCTCATGATTCTCTGAGATTAACATATTACCAACTCCGGTCTCCCACATTTACAATCATCCTCCTATTCAATCAAGTTCGGCAACATCCCCACCCGGCTCCCCTACCTCCTCAATCCGGGACTCCTTGTTTTCAGCCTCAATCTCCTCAAGCTTCTTCCGGCCCTCTTCAGTAGTCGCGTCAATAACGCCCTCCTCCAGACTAAGCATGCCACTGTTCCCCAGCTTCTCCACCACGTCCTCGGCCTCCTCCACGCGCATCTTGCCCAGGACCTTGTTGACTTCGTCCAAAGACTCCGAGGCCAGGGCTGTTTGCAGGTCCGCGGGGAAGGACTCGTAGATCTTGCGAGCTTCAATCTCGACTGGTTCATTGCTTTGCTCTGCCGGGATGTTGATGGTGATCTTGGTGTTCGGGTCGACGGCGTGCAGCTGGATCTGCTCGACTCCGGCGGGATCGTTGCCGCCCTTTGCAAGCTCGGCGGCGCGGGTCTTGATCTTGTTGTAGGTTTCGTTGACGTCGTTGCGGAATAGCGTTCCGGCTTGGTGGTCCTTGGTGGTGATGCTGGATGTGGGTATTAGTGGATAATTCTCGAATATAGTGTCGAGGTAAATGAGGGTAACATACCGCTTGAAGAACAGACCGATACCGTCACGGCCCAGGGAACGGCAGTATTGCAGCAACAGCCCTTGGTGGACACATTGACGCGCAAAGTCCTCCTTCCCTTCCATCTGAGCGTTGAAGCCCTCTACCAGGAGACCGTCGGTTTCCTTTTCCGCCACGATCGTCGGGTTCTCCGAGATGAACTGGAGCAGGGCGCGGTAGTCGTCGCGGGGGATTTTCGCAAATCGCCTGCCTAGTTCGCTGGCCCGTACACTCTCCATATCTTCCGCGTCGTCATCGTCGGCACCTGGCTTTTGCGACACTTCCTGTGGGGGCGCGTTCGGGTTCAGGAGCTCGACAGACTCCGTCCCCTTAGCCTCCGAGGCCTTGCCTTTCTCTTCTTGGGCCTTAGCAACGTGCGAAGTATCGAATCCCATGTGGAGTCCGTCACTCGTGATCTTGCTCGACTCCTCCTTTTCCAGCTCTGCGAGTCTCTCGTGCAGCTGCTTCTGTAGCCCCTGCACCTTATCCTTGTGGCCCTGGACACCCGTGATATACTCCTGGAAAAGCTTATCACTACTCGGGTCCTTCATCTCCTTCTTAACCTGGTCCACCAGCGCACCCATCATCTGCGAGTATTTCGGCTGTTCCTTCTCGTGGGTATACACGCCTTCCGGGGGCGGTGGGGCTTGGTCCTCCGAGGGGTTGCCCGCAGACTCCATCAAAGCCTGGAAGACTAGCTCCTCCGGGTTACCTGATGACCCCTCATGCTGCCGAAGCGAGGAGAGTAACTTGTCGATGCGCGTGAGAAGCCCGTCATTCACGATGCGCTCGTATTTGAGAGTCTCGATCTCATGGCGACGCTGCTCCCGCTGCTGGTGGATTTGGGACTGTTTGGCACGGATGAAGGACCGTTTGTCGACGTTGGGATGAACCTCGATGTCCGAATCATCGGACAATTCCAAGGCATCCCACTTGCTGTAATCGAGAACCATTGTGGAGGGAGAAAGCCGACACTAAGCAGTGCGTACAGGGTTTGGTGACGCAAGTGGGGGTGGGGCAGAGAGCAAAAGACGATGAGCTCGCAGAAGAGGCGAGGGTCTGGTCGAAGGGGAGTTGTTAATCGAACTGATAGATAGAATACTATATGTAAGACCAGGGGAAAATCTCTCCAGCGACAACGATGTTAAGGGGATGGAGTATCAAGCAAGCTCCATCTCCAGCTTGTCACGATTCTGGATCGTGGAAGATCCCCGGGCGGTGTCTGGCGGCAGAAACGAGCCGATGAGCGTCCGAAACGGATCGAATCATGGGGATTGTCGGCATTCGGTCTGACGCTCTTACTCTTTCCAACCACCGCTAACCTGCTTTCTTCCTAACTCGTCTACCAGCACTCTCGGTCCTTCTATCCCACTGTGGTTGAGACGCTCGTGTCATGGTCATATTCGATCCTTCATAAGCCGACTAAGATATGGCATTGTGCTGTATTCCGTGACATCCGACACATTCGTCCGATTCCCGCATTTTGTTCTTTCCACAATGCGCGGAGTCAGGGTCCTGGCCTCTTGGGCCCCTGGAGTCACTGCCAGACACATTGCGAGCTCAAATGGAAGTATCTTAAACCACGTTCTCTCTCGGTCGTCTCATGCATCGCCCTTTGCGCCCGGTCTTGGTGGTGACTTCACCCGCCGCTTCTCGGGAGCCTCCGGCTCAGTTTCCCGCCATCGCCTGTGTCAGCCGACTGGCCTTCAGTCCTTGCTTTCGGATAGCCCCTTACGATCTGTGTTCCGGTCTCAATTGTCTCTGAATGCTCGCCACTTCACCTCGTCACGATCAAACTTACAAACAACCCCGGGTTCGGAGTCCACGAACGGCCAGAATGGGAAGAACAAGTCTAGCCAGGATATCGACGAGGAGGAGGCCGACAAAGGGTTTGAACTATCGGAAAAGGCAGCACAGGCGGCACAAGTGAATATGCAAGCAAAGCTCGCCAAAGACGGGGCATCTGGGAAAAAATCGGGCTTCAGAGAGATATGGCGGCTGTTGTCCATTGCACGACCCGAGTCAAAGAAGCTCGGTTTCGCGTTCTTGTTTCTGCTGGTCTCGTCATCAATTACCATGTCGATTCCGTTTTCTATTGGAAGGATCATGGATGCGGCTACCAAGTCCACCGAGAATGTTGGGACCGAGGTCTTCGGTTTGAGCCTTCCTATGTTCTACGGCGCTTTGGCCGGCATTCTCGCAGTGGGCGCCGCGGCGAACTACGGTCGAATCATCATCCTTCGGATTGTTGGAGAGCGCATCGTCGCCCGGCTGCGCTCCAAACTCTTCCGTCAGACCTTTATCCAGGATGCGGAGTTCTTCGATGCTAATCGCGTGGGTGACCTGATCTCTCGTCTGAGCTCCGACACGATCATCGTGGGCAAGAGCATCACGCAAAATCTTTCGGATGGACTGCGCGCGGCGGTGAGCGGAGCAGCCGGGTTCGGCTTGATGGCGTACGTTAGTCTCAAGCTGTCCAGCATTCTGGCGTTGCTGCTTCCTCCGATCGGTCTCGGAGCGTTCTTCTACGGAAGAGCGATCCGAAACCTGAGTCGCAAGATTCAACGGAACTTGGGGTCTTTGACCAAGATCGCGGAGGAGCGATTGGGCAATGTGAAAACTAGCCAGTCTTTCGCTGGGGAAGTTTGCGAAGTCAATCGGTACAACACCCAAGTCCGCAAAATTTTCGAGCTCGGCAAGCAGGAATCCCTTATCAGTGCAACCTTCTTTAGCTCGGTATGTACCCCTACGCCGCGAAAAGTGAAAACGACATGGTTCTAATACGTTCTAGACTGGCTTGATGGGAAATATGACGATCTTAGCGCTCCTCTACGTCGGAGGTGGCATGGTCCAATCCGGTGCCATCAGCATCGGAGAGCTCACCTCATTCCTTATGTACACAGCTTATGCCGGCTCCAGCATGTTTGGCCTTTCCAGCTTCTACTCCGAGCTGATGAAGGGCGTTGGTGCCGCCAGCCGGCTATTCGAACTCCAGGATCGCCAGCCGACCATCTCCCCTACTAAGGGTGAAAAGGTTGTGTCTGCTCGTGGTCCCATTCGCTTCGACAACGTGTCTTTCAGTTACCCGACGCGCCCCGCAGTTCCTATCTTCAAGGATTTGAATTTCGAGATCCCGCAAGGGACCAATGTTGCTATTGTTGGGCCGTCCGGAGGCGGCAAATCCACCATCGCTTCTATCCTACTCCGGTTTTACAACCCCACCGCCGGAAAGATCCTTATCGATGGCAAAGACATTGGTAAAATGAATGCCAAGTCGCTCCGGCGGAAGATTGGTGTCGTCTCACAGGAGCCCGTCCTCTTCTCTGGATCCATTGCCGAAAACATTGCCTATGGCAGCCCTCGCGCGACTCGTTCGGAAATCGTCACTGCGGCCCGCAAGGCCAATTGCCAGTTCATCAGTGATTTCGTAAGTTTTATCTGGAGAAGGGAAACTCTATGTCTAGGAATCCTACTAACCCACCTCGCAGCCGGATGGTCTTGACACCCAAGTAGGCGCACGAGGCGCACAGCTGTCGGGCGGGCAGAAGCAACGCATCGCTATTGCCCGTGCTCTCATCAAGGAACCTGACATTCTCATTTTGGACGAAGCGACGTCCGCTCTCGACGCGGAGTCGGAGACGCTGGTCAACAGCGCACTCGCAGCCCTCCTCAGGGGCAACAACACGACGATCAGCATCGCCCATCGCCTGTCGACGATCAAGCGATCCGACACGATTGTCGTCCTAGGTCCGGATGGCAAGGTTGCTGAACATGGAACCTACGAGGAACTGAGCGCCCAACCGGACGGCGCTTTCACGAAGTTGATGGAGTGGCAAATGAGCGGTGGAGAGGATTCGCCCGCGCCGACTGCCTCCATCAGCCCGGCGACACAGGAGAAGCTGGATGGTCTGGCAGAGGAAGAAGTCGAGGATGTGGAGGAGACGAGCAGGAAGACCACCGAATGAGGATGAAGCATACCGGTTTGCACATATATTTCCTCCTTGGGGCTTACCTTCTTTCTTTCTTTTTCTTTCATTGCTGTTATACTATTTTGGTGCTGTAGAGCATTCCCCACTTTGCTTTGTTGAACCCGATGTTATTTCATAGACGGGCTGATCGACATGATGTCACATGTATCTATACCTTCTGTTTTGTATACCTCTTTATCCTACATAGTATATGAATCTCTTTTCATAGAAGTAATATTATTAGTTTTATGCAAGACAGGGAACACCTTTGGCAGAATTCTCTTGGCTGTCAACTTCATTTCTTCAACTCTACACCCCCCTCAAAAGCCGCACCTCCTGCCTGCGCATCCACCTGCATGCTCTCATCCAGCCCACACACGCGGAACAGCATCTGCGGCGTCATCTCCTTGCCAAGGTTCGGGATTCCATCGCGCTTCAGCCTTTCCATAGACTCCTGCATCGCCGCAACCGCAGGGCCCAGCCCAGCGAAGGGGAAGATGATCATCCTAAAGCCCAGTTCGCGGGCCTCCACAGCCGAGATAGACGGCGTAGCCCCATGCTCAACCATATTCAACAAAACCGGCCACGGCGCCAGATCCTGAACAATCTGACGGGCCATATCGCGCGAGGTCACCCCCTCCAGGAAACCGACGTCAGCGCCAGCGTCACGAGCCGCACGCAAGCGCGCCAAACTCTCCTCATACCCATGCACCTGCAGCGCATCCGTCCGCGCGATGATGACAATATCGCTTCCGATTCGAAGCCGCGCCTGCACGGCGGCCCGGATGCGCGTCACGTAGGTGTCCTTGTCGACCAGGATCTTGCCGCCCAGGTGACCGCACCGCTTGGTCTGCACCTGGTCCTCGAGGTGGAAGGCGGCAACCCCGGCGCGCGAGTACTGCTCCGTCGTGCGGGCCACCATGATCGGACCGCCGTAGCCGGTGTCAGCGTCGGCGATGACGGGCGTCGAGGGGGACAGGTTTGCGATCATCTCTGCGTTGGCGCGCATGTCGTTTAGCGTGCAGATGCCTAGGTCGGCTTGGCCGTGTACTGAGGCTGCTGTGCCTGCGCCGGTCTGTTGTGCGTTTGTGAGCTACCTTCTTCTAGTAGTGGCGAGAGGTGAAACGTACCATGTATAGGGCGTCGAAGCCCACGTTGAGGGCGATGCGCGCGGATAACCCATCGTATACGCCTGGGGCGGTGATGAACGATTTGGGGTCTTCGAGGGACCGGCGGAGAGTGGTCGCTGCGGTGATCATAGGCATTGTGTAGGTGGATTGACTCTGACCGGCAAGATGAGGGGTAGAATTAGAAGTAAATATGGTAAATATATAGATCGGTATTTCTATATATTTCTAAGCCGTCTAGCCGTGGTCCGCGGCCGACATCGGGTGGCGATCATTCCTTTTGTATCGCGCATCTGCTTCAACCTGTTATTCAAATGATTGATGTTACTAGAGCAGTGGAGAACTTATGTCATCTTGGTTATTTTACAGGGACTAGTTCATCTAGTGTGTATGAACTGCGCGTGTGAAAAATAAACCCTTGAGTGAAGATTGACGGTTCCAGAGACCCGCCGATCCGGGCAATTTCTCCACCTCCGGCGTCTTCGCCTTCCACTTACTTTCCCATCTTCAATCTTCAACCTTCGATCTTTAATCCTTCCACACGCAGACTTTTGTCCTGTCCTTCGATCTCGTTTCTTCCCCAGAATGATCTCTGGGGTCTGTATATCCTAAAATCGACTTCCTTATCTCTCTTACCCATCATACTCCTCCTCCATGGCCAAATCCGCCGTCGTTCAGGAATACGCCCCTCCGCCCTCCAATACCCTCTCTCTCGACCGCAAAGCCACCCACGAACGCCAATACCATGCGATTTCCCGACCGAAAGGCTATCGCGTCTCGTGGCATGCCAACCCGGCCGTGGAGCTGCACCATTTCGGGCAGTCGCATCCAATGAAGCCGTGGCGCCTCACGCTCACGAAGCAGCTGGTGATGGCGTACGGCATGCACCACGCGATGGATCTGTACTTCGCGCGCGAGGCGACCTACGAGGAGATGGCCGACTTCCACAAGACCGACTACCTAGACTTCCTGCAGCAGGTGCTTCCAGGCGACATGGAGAACGCGGATCAGAGCGAGAACGTCGTGCGGTTCAACTTCGGGGATGACTGTCCCATCTTCGACGGCCTGTACAACTACTGCTCGCTGTACGCGGGCGGCAGCATCGACGCGGCGCGCAAACTGTGCAACAACCAGAGCGAGATCGCAGTCAACTGGTCGGGCGGGTTGCACCACGCGAAGAAGGCCGAGGCCAGCGGGTTCTGCTACGTCAACGACATCGTGCTGGGCACCCTGCAGCTGCTGCGTCTGCACCCGCGCGTCATGTACATCGACATCGACGTGCACCACGGCGACGGCGTCGAGCAAGCCTTCTGGTCGACCGACCGCGTGCTCACCGTCTCCTTCCACAAGTACGACAAGGACAACTTCTTCCCGGGCACGGGCGCCCGCGACAGCACCGGCCCCAGCCACCCGCTCAACCCCGGCGCGCACCACGCGATCAACGTCCCGCTGCACGACGGCATCGACGACGACTCCTACATCCAGCTCTTCCGCGACGTAGTCAGCTCCTGCGTCAACGTCTACCAGCCCGGCGCCATCGTCCTGCAATGCGGCGCCGACTCGCTCGGCTGCGACCGCCTCGGCTGCTTCAATCTCAACGTCTCCGCCCACGGCGCCTGCGTCGCCTACGTCAAGACCTTCAACCTCCCCATGCTCGTCGTCGGCGGCGGCGGCTACACCCCGCGCAACGTGTCGCGCGCCTGGGCCCACGAGACCTCCATCCTCCTCGACGCCCAGAACCTCATCGACCCGCACATACCGGACACCGTCAAATTCCGTAACCATTTTGGCCCGGACTACTCGCTCTTCCCGCCGCTGTCGGAGATGCGCAAGCTCGAGAACAAGAACCCCCGCTCCTACCTCGCCGGCCTGTACGAGTCCGTCACCGAGCAACTCCGCTACATCAAGGGCGCCCCGTCCGTGCAGATGAGCTTCATCCCGCCGGACATTCTGGGACTCCGCGAGGACACCGAGCACGAGATCGAGGAGGAGACCGCCATGCGCGACGAGATGCGCGAGGAGCAGGACGGGAACGGCAGTTTGGCCAAGTTTAGTCGGCGGCGGGAGTTGGAGCGGGCGGCCGGTCAGCGCGATGAGCTGTATGCTTCGTGATTTTTTTCTTCTTCTTCCTTTTTTCGAGTTCAGGTGGAGTTGTATATACATTGGTGAAATTTTGGGCAGGGCGGTATTGGCGTTGTTTGCGGTGGCGTTTATCTATGTGATGTTTTTAGACCTACCTACAATTAGAAAAGAATACGAACATAGCAAGCAACACAAATTTTACGTATACGTATAATGTAGTAAAGCGAAGCACAAAATTCAACAGCTCTCACGGACATGATTTCAATACCTAAATGGTACCTGAAGCCGAAAGTATAGTTACATACCAGGTACATCTACCGTACATACAAACCATAAAAATATTTTTTTTTTAATTTCTTGGGGAAAAAAACAGTGAGAAGATAATAAATCCCAATTGTCGAGCAGAACCACAAGTACAGGAGCAGTAACTCAGCGGTAGAGTGGTAGATTGCAATGGTGTAACAACTAGCAATTATCTATAGGTCCCGTGTTCGATCCACGGCTGTTCCTTTTTTTTCTTCTTTTTTCCTGCATCTTTATCCTTAGCCAGCCTTGTTTTACTTACTTAGCTCACTATTAAGTTGGTTTTTTCTGCCTTGTACTTGGTTACTTTTCATTGGGTCAAATTCTGGAAGATATCCATGTGTTCAAGGTCTAGATCAGACCTAAGTGATGGGTAAGTGTAATGAACCGTGGCATATTTCAAGTTATACATTGACTTATTGGCTGGTCCATCATAGATCGAGGTTAATATTATGGTCCGGCTGTGTATATCCATGGAAATAAACACGAAGTGCCATCCATCTATGTTGAATACAGCATGAATACTTCCTCTTATACTATATGGACTATCAACTGCCGTGTCGAGGTCTGAGATAATCACACCACCTTACATGCTTGCGTGAATGGAGATTAAACAATGTCAAATATACATGTATACCCCTTCTCTACACATAAGGTACTATCTCACGGAAGTACCTTTAAAAACTTAATCAATTATGTATGTCCATTGTTATAAATCCTCCCTATCAAATATACTGCCCTCACACATGCTATAAGTACTAAAAAAAGTTATAACGCGTCAATGAAGCAATGGGTATCCAGTACGATGTGGGTGATTGGCCATAACAGCAGTGTTGAAACCTGAGGGCCTTGCTCCAATAATATGGCCCGAACCAAACCAAGACCTTGCAGGTGACCCTCTCCTGGCGCAGAGCAGAACGAAAGAGAGGATCATATTAGTCCTTCTCCTGGTCGGTTGGTGGCCCTTGCAGGTTGACTGGCCCCCGGTTTTGCTCATTCACCATAGTTCCGTGGCCATTGCTACCCTTTGCTGTTGTCGGCCTGTGGCTTCATTATATGCCTTCTCACCCCCCCGCTTGCTTCCTCAGATGAAATGGGCCAGGGTTTCCATCGCCAAGCGCGTGGTGGGCTCATGATCTCAATGTAGCCCCTGCGCGGGCGTCGGATTGGGGACTTCCGCCGGGGGATCGGTGTGCGGTGCTGTCTCTGCAGCTTCGGTGTGCGCTTGCTCCGGAGCCGCCCCCTGACCGGCCGGGGGATGATGCGGAGGGATTTCCGGGATGGGTGGCAGAGGTTGGCCCTCTAGGATCGGTGCAATGGCCAGGATCTGCTGGCGGGCACGCTCGGGATTGTGCGAATCGCTATCGTTTCTGTTTAGCCGGAGTACACCAGGAAACACCATTAAGAAAGAGGCTTACACGTCCGCATTGATGATCCAGTCCAGGTCTTCCTCGCCCTCGTCGGGACCCCCCGGTCCTCCGTGGACCGGGCGGAAGAGGTGAGGGTGCCACTCCACGCCGTGCTCGGCCCGCTTGGCGGCCTCCTCGCGTTGACGGTCCTCAATCTTCGTTTTCTCATCCGTTGCCACCTCGTGATCCCGCGCGATGATCGCCTTGACGGTATTTTCCCACAATCGCTGCGATTCGCGTTCGCCTTGCTGCTCGATGGGTCGAGTGGTGGGTGGGGTGTGTTTGGCGTGGCTCGCGTCGAATAGCGTATCTTTGTGGTTAGACTGCGTTCTGTCAGACCATGGCTTCAGTAAGGAGATCCAGGACAACATACGTGGACATCTCGGATTTGCATATCCCCGTTCCAGAAACCTGAAAGCTCATATAAAACCTCGCCCGTCTTCTCGTTCTTGATGGTGCCCCCAATCGCGTTATAAGTGCCGGAGAAATACCCCTTCGTCTTGAATTCGATATCGGCGACGAGATTGTTCTCGGGGCATCGCACGTAGCTGTGATCTCCGAGCTCGTACTTCATCTTGCCGAAAAGGATGCCGCGCGCGTACATATTCGGTTGCGTCACGATACTGCTGTCGTTAATTCCTGGCATCCAGAGTCACAAAGGGGGAGACGTACTATCGTTCACCCTTTTCCTTATCCTCCCCATGGTTCAACAACCGCACGATGGCGATCCCTTCCATCATACTGGCAGCCGAATTGCCCAGGAATTTACTGTGCGGCTTCAGGGTGCCGTCGATGCGGATATTATGTTCGGGAGCCATGAAGAAGTAGCTGGATTTCGGCGGGTGGTGGGAGGTTTGTTCGGAGATATAGTACCCGCGTGTTCCATCGGGGTAGTCCCAATAGCAGGTGAAAGTCTCTCCAAGGATGGGATTCAGCGGTTTCTTCACCCCTCTGTCCAAACGGAACCGATTAGCTCGTGAGAAACAAGTGGCGGGTGGGAGGGCATCGGACGTACGGAGGTTTGATGTGCCACCCACTCAGATAGAATTTGACCACGGATATGAAGCGTTCGAGCGGATCGTCAATAGTCGACATGGGCAGGAGCGTCTCCGGATGGGCCATGAAGCTAGAACAGAGGCAATCAGCAACGGGTCGGCCGTCACAGAACGGAGTCTAGGCGAGAGTCCCTACTTAGTGATGCGCTCCAACATAGACCGCGGCTCGAGAATAAAGGTAGGCAGCACCACCCGGCTCAGGTCTGCGCCCGGTCGGAGCTGGGAAATGATATGCGACAGGACTGGGAGGGTCAGTAATCGCACCGAGTTGATTTATGCGGTCGATCAAAACTCTCACGGTCAGCCCTTACCATTTCCTTGGTCGGGTTCTACCAGCTCGTCATCCCCACTGGTATTTTCCACCTTATCTCTGGCGGGTTCATCGAGGGATGAGCGAGCGCCTGTGACGTTGAAAAAGGAGCCCCAGTCAGCGGACATGGTGTCGGAAAGGAGGGGCGGGGCGGGGTGTTCCGCGGCGGAAGATTTGGCGGGGGGGGAAGGAAAGAGGAAAAAATGATGGAGTCAGGTATAGTGCTCGGCGTTGTCAAGTGAGATGAGACGAGAAGAGGGAAGAGAAGCCAGAGGGTAAAGGGGAAAGGGCTTGGAGAGTTGGTGGACGAAGGTTTGATTGATTACTGAGGGGGAGAGAGAAGTCGGGCCGAACATGGCAATGACGTGTGTGGGAGGGTCAACCACTGTTAAGAAGATTGGAACTTACTGGCGCCACTGGCCAACGATGACCGTCGACGGATATGAGAGACGACCGTGTGCATTTTGAGTTGAATGAGAGAGGGAAAACAGAAACAGGTAGTTTGTCTGTCACTTGGTTTTTGGGGGCAGATTTAATTATATATATTTTAATTTGTTGTTCTTGTTTTTTAGTAGAGTGGATCACCTGATGTATCCATTCCCTGTAGAACGACTCGATCGGGGGATCTTCAATATCACTTAAGAAGAGGAGGGAAAGAAGGAAAGAAGAAGAAAAGAACGGTGGGAAAAGAAAAAAGGAAGAAGTCGATCTAGAAAATTAAAAATTCTTCCAAGTACCTCCAGACCTAGCCAACACCCAGTGTGTCTCCCATACGTAGATGATCCACCGCTACTTCATACTACTGATACTATAGGGATTTGGGAGGATCCTAGCCCTGGTCTTCCCCCCACAAGAATCCATCCGTGAACGTGTTGCTCGTCTTGGCTATGCTTGTCAGGATGTCGTCCTTCTTTTCACTGGGACTCATCGATCTTTTTGGTCTAAAAGGATGCTAATCTGGCGCAGAGGATGGTCTGGACATCTGTGGATGTCTAGATGAGAGGAAAAAAATAAGGTAAAAAAATAAGTAAAATCAAGAAAAAAGACCATGAAAAACACCAACGAATGAGACATACTATCAGGATATAGCCTTGTACCTGGATCCAATGCCAAGCAAACCCTCTAGTCTAGTGTCTTTAGAGGGAGAATTTCCCGAAATGTGACGCCATCGCCCGAAACCAACAACCAGTCAGTAACCGCCATTATACTTACTACGTAGTAGGCAGCAAGGTATTAGTATGCAAATCGCCTACCGTAATGGGTCCCTTCCACGTTCTAGTAGTCCACAGTCCTCATCCCCATGAATGACACCCCAATCCTGCTGTAGTGCCTCAAACCCGGTCGATCAAGGCCACATCTCCGCCCGTGATCTCATGCAGGAATCCCGGATCGGGACGATGCAGCATGACATGGAAATGCTCGACCGCGTGGACCGACTTGAGCGACTTCCAGTTCTTAAACCAGATGACCTACCAGCAGTACCCCGGTCAGTTGATTCCTCCCAACGACCGAACTCATTCCCTACGGATAACGTACCTGGTCAGCCGGCACCCGCGAGCGGAACGTCTTGCCCACGTAGTCGTCAATCTCCTGGCGGGCGCGTGGGGTCAAGTCATCCGTCGCCGGGTCGTCTTCCAGCTCGAACTTGGTCCATACCACCAGGTGGACGATGCCGTCTTCGACCCCATACGGCCAGTCATTGAAAAGAATACGGATGTCCTCTGCACACGTTCGTTAATTGTCAGCCCAACCGTGAACCCTTTGTCGATCATCCCAGCCAAAATCCACGGACATGACGAACCATCGTATTCAAAGGGCCGCCCTCGCGGTTTCAAGTCCTCGGCGCTCCCCTCCCCCCAGCGTAGCCGCTCCTTGACCACAAACCGCATGATGGACCCATACTCGGCCACAATCCGCTCCTTGTACTCCAGGTACTTGCGTAGATCGCTGGGGAGTCGCTGGAACCGATCGATCCGGTTGGTTCCTACACCTCTGTTCAGCGCGCTGCCTTCGTAGTCGAATGTGTTCGGTTCGACGGTCACTCACGGATGAACTCCTGCACCAGATCCCACCCCTGTTTCTCGTAGTGGTCGTCGGGGGTCGAGAGGATCTCGATGTTCTTCGGAGGCTGACCTAGAAGGAAGCTCGGACACTCGGCCGGCCGCTTATGGTGAGGAACGTTGACCAGCCAGTAGGGCAAGGATTCCGCCGATAGGTTCGACGTGGCGTCCGAGAAACTGGCTGCTGCTTTCACATCTGGCTCCTCCAGCTTCTCATCGAGAGCGGTGAACGTCGCGGCCGGCGTCGACAGTTCAGGGGCGTGAGGCATGATGGCGATAGGAGGACGGAAAAATCTAAACCACAGTTGTCCTACCCTGTATGCTCTGTAGTGTTGGAAGCGAAATTCGTCTGGATATCAATCCCCAAAACCAAAATGAATCAATCAACGGTCGGGCCCGATTGCGTGGCGACCGACTGTCGGTCGAGCGATGGGTTGGGGATCGTCGATGCGGAGACCCACTGGGCTAGAAACGGTTCGAGAAAGGATTGTCCCCTTTCGAGGTAGACCATCCTGCAGTCACACCGACTAGGGAGGGGGGTCCCTACAAGGTGAAAGAAAATACCACAATGAGAGAGGAATGCATGCACCATGGATGATCCATCACGGCAAGGGTCATTCTCAAAGTACTAGCTTGCGGTATGGCTTTCCACAGTTCTTATATATTGCTTATGACAGATGTGGCGCAGCTTGCCGCATGCGACTTGGACAGGACAGGCTGCATCGTTCATGCGCCAAGCCGACGTACGTCCTAGCCCCTGCAATCCACGCCTTGAATTTCGGCGACGAACTGTATAGATATTGATTCAATTCTTTAGACATAGATTTCCGATCTCAGGTCCATCGGATCGAACAATCGACACCCCTGCTGCCTCCAACTCCTTCCTGGCATCGGCCCACCCTTCATCCGGCGAAACACACCGTGTCGCATCCTCTACAAAGTAACTCCGGAACCCTTCAAGCGCAGCATCGATAGCCGTGTACTTGACACAAAAATCGCCCGCCACCCCCACCGAGAAGACGTCCGTAACCTGCTGGCTCGCCAGGAACGCCTTCAAATCCGCACTCACAGACTGCGCATTGACAACCGGATCGCGATTCCCAAACGCATCGGAGAACACCGAGTACATTTCCACCCGCGGATTCATTCCTTTTTTCACGGTCAGATCGACCCGACTGGTGTCGATTTCGGGAATGACCGCCGCGCCTTTGGTACCTGCCACGCAGTGAACCGGCCACAGCCGCTGCGGCTTGACCTCGTCGTGCTTGCCCGGAGCCGGATTGTTCATCTGCACGTAGGACTCGAAGGGGTGGTTGTTCGGAGGCGGGTGGTTACTCGAGAAGGAGATGTGGGTTTCCGAATGGTAGTCCTGCGAGACGACCTGGATGGCGAAGCCGGGGTTTGCCAGGAGTTTATTAATGGTCGGGGCTATCTCGCGTGCACCTTGAACTGCGAGAGAACCATTCTGTAATAGACATATCAGCGGGGGTTATCCATATAGATCTACATCAGTCAATCAGTCACGTACTGGAGGGCAAAAGTCCTCCTGCATATCAACCACGATCAGAGCGGCTTTCATTGCGACAGATTCCCTAATGGGTGCGACAAATGGCGATCACTAGAAACAAATGATGTGGTGGGAGAGTTCAACCCATAGAGCACCCTGGTCCTTCTGACACCGCAGTCTCCACTGGGGCAATAAGCTCAATGTCATGTTGCATCATAACCGGAAACGGCGATGACATGCGGGGGAGCTTAGAAAGATCCAACTCCCAGCAAAAGAATCCGCCCGATAACTGATAAGCCCACACGTGACATGTGCTGAGTCAGCGGGACACAAAAAACCAACAAAAACTTCGACTTCTTCGCTTCTTCTTCTCCTTCTTCTTCCTTTCTTACTTCCTCACCGTTTCAGGGCTGAGGCCCTTGTCTCTTCCTACTAGAACTCTGTTTCTAACTATTATTCCCTGCAGAGGATGAGATTGTCTCAATCAAAGGTATGCACATCCCCAAACTCAATTGCATCGACCCTTTGTTTTTATGATGATCCCATTTATTGGAGCTGTCCGAGATACATCATGCGGATAAAATCTTTATACGCTTTTCATCTTTCTGATCTTTTCAAATCTTCTGTTTTGAAATACCACGTACCTGGTTGTGATCATTCGCTAACTCGCACAAGTCCCCACTGCAGGAACCGAGTAAACATCTATTCCAGCCTCCTTGATTACCTTTTTCCTTCTTTGACCCTTACCCCCCACATCACATAATAGCTTCTCTCTTCACATATTACTCCCCCCCCACTACCCACTCCCCTATCATTGCCATAAATTCTACACTACACGCCACCATGGCACATGATCCTCGATTAGCTAGTGCAGGCACTGCAACCCCTGACCCCCCTCCCCCACCACCACCACCTCCCGCTGAGACCGCGATGTCGGTGGTGGCAGAGACCCGGGCAGCGGATGACGCGGTTGCCGCCCAGTCAGACTCCTACAAGCTTAGATTCTGCACAGTCTGTGCATCCAACCAGAACCGGTCGATGGAGGCTCATCTGCGGCTCTCAACGGCCCCTGCCCCGTTCCCTGTAATCTCATTCGGTACCGGCTCTCTGGTCAGGCTACCGGGCCCCTCCATCACCCAACCTAATGTCTACCACTTTAATTCGACCTCGTACGCCCAGATGTACGATGAACTGCTGGCCAAGGACGAGCGACTCTACCGTAATAACGGCCTCCTGACCATGCTGGAGCGCAACCGGAACCTGAAATGGGGCCCCGAGCGCTTCCAGGACTGGGTCCCGGGCATGCCCCGCATCGACCACGTCTCCAAGGGCGACAAGGGCGCCCTGGGCACCGAGGGCGGCGTCGTCGACGTCATCATCACCTGCGAGGAGCGGTGCTGGGACGCCGTCGTCGACGACCTCATGAACAAGGGCTCGACCCTGAACCGCCCCGTCCACGTGTTCAACGTCGACATCAAGGATAACCACGAGGAGGCCCTCGTCGGAGGGAAGGCCATCCTCGAGCTGGCCAATCGGCTCAACGCTGCCGCCGTCCAGGAACGTAAGACGAACGATCAGACCGGCTGGGAGAACGGCACGGGCGACGCCCGCAGGAGCTTCGATGAGAAGGTCCCCCAGATCCTGGGCGAGTGGCAGGAGAAGTGGCCTAATTTACCGGCCTTGTGGACTTTGGCTTGGCTATAGCCTGCCATAGTAGCCCGAAGGGCAATTCAATATACCTGAAATCAATGATACTCCATACTTGTTTGTTTCTAAGCATTCACTCAACATGTAGCTATACTCTCAAGATTTATACCAAAATACAATACTGCCGACTTGATGACCCCTCCATTAAACTATGCACGTTGCCTTTTATATCATTATAATCTAAAGCTCGAAGGTCACATTATCCTACCATTCTATCACCTGTTTACCTCTTGCATATCACTCTCAAACCCCAACCCAACCCTATGACCAAAAAACATTCACAAATGGGTATATAAATACATACAAATCCACATAAAACCAAATCCGAATAACACCATCATAGCACATAGCATATAACATATGGCACCCATGCACCCACCCCCCCCCCCACACACACACCATACAAATACAATAATATCAACTCCCAAGCAAAGCCTCCCTCCTCAACAGATACCACCTCTCCAAACACGCCCTCCGCTGCGCAGGCGTCATCCCCTCCACAACAAGCGCAAACTCCGTCGCACTGGGAAACCCAAACTCGCGCGCCATGCTGCAGAACTGCCTTTTCATGACGTCGCGGGGTGGGTGGTACCTGTATGGGATGGTGCCTGTCTTTGTCGGGTCAGTTGTTAGGAGGGGGGGATGACTGGTGTCGGTTTTTTGCGAGTCGGCGAAGACGGGATCGTCCAGGTCGAGGGCGTGGTCTGCCTGTTGGGCACGACGGCTGAGACGCTCTTCTTCTTTGGAGGAGCCGATGACTTCGTTATTGAGGTGGGTGTATTCGACGCCTGCGCTGGTGAGGATTGCTTGGATGGGGTCGTGTTGGTGTTTTATGGGGGTGGGGGTGTTGGTGGTGGTGTCGGCTTCTTCTTTTTCGCCGCGGATTATGGCGGCTAGGTGGTTCATTACTTCGTCGGAGTCGTCTGTGGTCGTAGTGGAGGCGGGTGCGGCATCGTGATGATATTGGTCGACTTCGATGCCCATGACGTGGACGCCAGCGCGGCTTTCAGCGACGTTAGTCTTGTTGACGATATCGCGGAGGACAACGTTGTTGTCCTGATACTCGAAGAGGTTCTTCAGTCCGAAAATCTCCCCCTTCTGGTCCTTCTTCTCCTGGACGCCTTTGAAGTACCGGCGCTCGGAGCTCGCGTTGTAGCCGATGTTGGCCTGCTGCTGCTTGTAGATCTGGCGCGCGTAAACGATCTCCTCGATGGTCCCCGCTGAGATGAGGCGGAAGACTTCGACGTCGCGGGACTGGCCGATGCGGTAGGCGCGGTCTTGCGCCTGGAGGTCGTGCGACGGGTTCCAGTTTGGGTCGACGACGACGACTTTGTTGGCGGATGTGATGTTGAGGCCGACGCCGCCGGATCGCGTCGAGATCAGGAAGACGAATTGCCGCGGGTCCGAGTTGAACTCGGCGACTGCCTGGGCGCGCTCGTCGTAGGTCATGGAGCCGTCGAGATAGCTGACGTTGTAGCTGGTGTGGTTGAACAGCATGTGGAGCATCCTCAGGAGACGGACGCTGTGGGAAAAGACCAGGACCTTGTCCCCGTTGGCGTGCCACCACTTCAGCAGTTGCTTGAGGACCTTCCACTTGCCGCAGAAGTCGGAATTCGCGTAATTCAGGATGGAATCCCGTTGGCGGTAGAGCTGCTCCCACTGGCTGGGCACGGCAATCTCCAACCACTCTTTATCCTTTTCCCGTTTCTCGTTGCTGTCCGTGCCTTGGGGGATCAGCGTGGCCAGGTGATTGCTTAGCTTCTGCAGAACAGCGATCGCGGGGAAGACGTGGGTGGCCCAGGGGCCTTTCCCCGGGATGATCCTGCGACAGCACCAGCCTGCCTTCTTCCCCGATCGACAGTCACACATGTCAGTGGAGTGCTTGATGTATTCAATGACCTCGCTGTCCAGAATGTTCTCGTAGGCGTCGGCCTGCGTGTCGGTGAGGGGACAGAAGACGACGCGGTCGATCTTCTTGGGCAGCTGGTCGGCAATTAGGGTCTTCATGCGACGGAGAAAAAACTGGGGAAGCAAGTTTTCCACCAGCATCTTGGCCGTTTTACGGGCCCTACTCAACTGATGGACGGTAGCATCGTGCGACTGGCCAATCCTCAGCGGCTCCGAGACGCTTTTCCTCCATTCGAGCGCAGGGCCTAATATCCCCGGGTTGGTCCAATTCAGCAGGGTCCAGAGCTCTTCGTAATTGTTTTGGATCGCGGTTCCGGTCAGCCCTATCCGGCAAAGGGCGTTGACCCCGTTCATTTCCTTGGTGGTCATTGAACTTTTCTGCTTGATAACATGGCACTCGTCAGCGATCACACAGTCCCAGTCGACCATGTTGATCGCATCCTTGTTGTTGAGGTAGGTCCCGTAGGTCGTGAGCAGGACCTCGATTCTCCCGGACCGCGCCGCCTGGAGCGCCAGTTCCTTGCTGTCCCCGTGGTACAAGTCGACATGCCACCAGCCCCAGCGCTCAAACTCCGACCTCCAGTTTTGGAGCAAGGTACCGGGGCAAACAATAAGCGTTCGCGGGTACCAGCGGGGTTGATCGCTCCGGCGCATCTTCCGCATTCGCTTCGCGTCTCGTTCATCGCCTGTTTTCCCATACGCTGCGGTGAGGAAGGCGATCACCTGGACTGTTTTCCCCAGACCCATATCATCGCCGAGGATGCCGCCTTTCTGATAGACGAAGAGCTCGTGCAGGAAGGCCACTCCATCCACCTGGTACTGGCGCAGCCACTGCGCGACGGGGGCTGGGATCAAGCCCAGCGAATATGGAAGGGTGATGTCTTTGTAGGGACTGCAGGGCGTCATGTTACTAAAGGTGGGCTTCTCCTTGAGGTCCTGCAGGCGCTCGTCATCCGAAAACTCAACCTCATCATAGGTCGGAGGAAGTTTCAACCCCGACGTCTTCGACTGTTCCGTCGTGGCGTCGAAATCGGTCCGACGCTTTTGCAGGTAGTCCGGAAGCGAGTCATCGCCCTCATCGTCGCTCGGCACTTCCTCACCAAAGGTCCTCAGCGGCCGCACCGGCGCCTTCCGTTTTGACCGGGGGATTTTGCCGACCATGACGTCGGAGGTGGAGGTCACTCGGGGGGTGGGGGTATGGGTGATGCTCTTGCGCGGACCGGTCGACGCTCGTTTGCGTTTCAGGGATTTGCGCCTCTGGAAGGCCTTGTAGGCTGCCTCGGGGTCGTCAAAGTCCTCGTCTCCATCGCTCTGGTCGGAGATCTCGACTGTTGGAAGATCTGGAGAAAGGGAACGACCGGATTCTTTTTTAGGGGGGTTGGGTTGATCTGTGTCTATTACTGATTGATTAGAGATGGGGAGAGGCGAATATGCGGGGAAGGAAGCGTACTGTCGTCACACGCGGTTGGACGCGATCTTTGGAGAGGAGCGTCCAGATCGTCGTCGTCATCTTCGCTGGCCGTTGCAGTCGCGTCCGTATCTTCCATGTCTACCATCTGGAATCGCGTCAAATGAAGTGGGAGAGGGCAGTGTAGTGGTTGGTGCAAAGCGGATGGGGAAGAGAAAAGAAGATGCGGAGAGGAAGACGGAGGGAGTCTTGGCAGCAGCTGACCATATCATACCAGATCATTGAAGCCCTAACTCGGGATCTTGGATGGAAGTATTGATTGCTTTTCAACAAGACTGTCGACACTCTTGGCTAGATTGACCAAGTATTCTAGTGGTCACACTGAGACAATATGCTCAAATATAATGTCACAGGGTTAGTAGGCAGGTAAATCTGCTCAATCCCGCGCACCCATCCACTATTGGACGCAGCCCTAACTCAAGACAGGCGTCGTACGACTGATTCTTCGGTGATTTATTAGGTGAATGTTTCTATTTAGTAGAACTTATGTACCTACATGAGGTTATTTGAGCACATATTTTAGTTCCATATCACAAAGTATATCTAGTAGTAACCCGTGATCTGTATAGGTAGACAGCCTCTTAAACTCCTCTGGGCCACTCCAATCTCTTCATCATTCTCTTACCTTACGTCTCTATCAGAATTCTCCCTATTCTCCCTATCATCACGACTCAACATGGAACAGCACGCCATGCACTCCATAACCACAGCAACCACCCCAGCAATGCCCACAAGCAGCCCATCCCCCGAAATGGGCAAACACGCCGGCATGCACATGTCCAGCTGCAAGATCTCCGTATATCCATCCCTCCATCCCTCCATCTCTTCAATCCAAACAACAAATCTACTAACAGGCCAACCAATCCTCCCCAGATGCTATGGAACTGGAACACCATTGACTCCTGTCAGCCTCCCCCCCTTCTTCCCCCCCCTCTCCTTCTGCTAAGACAAGAGAAGGCTTCCTCTCCTCAACCTGGCACATCACCTCCAACAGCGAATTCGCCGGCTCCTGCATAGGCGTCATCTGTCTGGTTCTCGTCCTCGAGCTTCTCCGCCGTATTGGGCGTGAATATGATGCTTTTATCATCCGTCGTGCTAGACTCGCCCAGCACAATCAGTACCTATCTCTATCTCTAGCTCCTACGGACACATCCACCACAGCTCCAGCCGCAGCCACAGCCACATGTATCCCATTCTTATCACGCCCCTCCTCACCTTCTAATGGCCCCAAACCTGCTCTACCGACTTCAACAGTTACCCCTACTACAGCAGGGACCACAGCAGAAACAGGACCATCCACCATACGCCCCAAACCAACCGAACAGCTCATCCGCGCGGTGCTACACACGCTGCAATTTGCAGTAGCGTACTTCATCATGCTGCTGGCGATGTACTTCAACGGGTACATCATTATCTGTATCTTTATAGGGGCGTTTCTGGGGGCGTTTATCTTCTCGTGGGAGGGGTTGAGTTTGGGGGGGGATAGGTATGTTTTTTTTCCATTTGATTCTATTTTTTTGCTGTTGGCAGAGAGGTGGATGGATGGATGGACGGATGGATTTGTGGATTAAGAGATGATGAGCTTGCTAACTGAACGATGTGTGTGTATCTAGGAATGATGCTACGGCTGTTACGAAGTGCTGTGGATGATTGATTGATTGATCAAGTTGTTCGCTTCGTCTATACACCTACCCCCACCTCTCACCTCCTACCTACTTCCTACCTACCGACCTACCGATATATCAACAGAATCACAAGTGATGCATTCCATTTTAGTGCACATTACTTTGCTCTCATTCATTAGTCCATCATTGGATTTTTTTATTCTATTTACGAAAACGTCCCTCGTAATTACTTGTCTGTCTGTCTATCTGTTTGTGTATCTACCTACCTACCTACTACTTACTTACTACCTCGTATGTATGTACGTAGTACGTCAGCCATCTTTATTTCTATCAAACATCATACATTATCCATACATACCTATAAACCTACAAACCTACGTAGATATAGATAGAAAATAGATAGATAGACAGACATATATCAATTCGCACCCCAAATACCGGCTAACACCGCGGGTCTCCCAAACAACATGATGTAATCAAGATTCTATAATGCCAGGAAAAAAACACCAGTGTATCGCCATGTGCAACATACCATGCAGACGAAAGATCTAGAAATAGTCAACGAGTTTTGTTGGTCAGACACTGGTTGCATGCATAAATAAATGATATTAGGGGACGAAACTGCTAGGGCTGCATTTGGAGCTGGGATCCTACGCCTCGTTGGCAATGACCCCGCTTCAGATGGCGGGGTCTTGGGACTCCCCTCCATACGAGAGTTTGAACTACTAGACTACTGGCTACTGACTACTGACTACTGACACTACGGTTTACGTATACGATGGAGGAATGATGGTGAGATGCTAATATATCGGGAGACACTCTAGATTACACCACCCAAGGATACAGACCGACCGTCATCGCCATCATCATTCGGAAAAGATCAGAAAAAATGTTTCCAATCTCCCGAGCAACAAGGGCAATGGATCAGAGACGCAAATCAATCTGACGAGAAAAAAAAATTCCTTTTCCGTTGGGCAATTTACAGCTCACCACAGTCCACGATGGTGGGCTTGACGTTCGAGCGGATAGCACCGCTGCTAGAGCCAAGAGCCTCGATCTCCTTGACGATCTGGAAGGAAGCGTCGTCGGCAACCTCGCCGAAGACGACGTGCTTGCCGTCCAACCAGGAGGTCACGACGGTGGTGATGAAGAACTGGGAGCCGTTGCTGCAGGAATTCCCTCGTTAGTCAAGAAAACCTTGGCAGTTGGAGCAGTGAAACAAGGAGACTTACGTGTTGGGACCAGCGTTGGCCATGGAGAGGATACCGGGCTTGGTGTGCTTGTGGATGAAGTTCTCATCGGCGAACTTCTCACCATAGATGGAGCGGCCACCGGTGCCCTACAGATCTCGTTAGATGTATGTCACGGGAAGAAACAGAACGGGGAAAGACACTCACGTTGTGGCGGGTGAAGTCACCACCCTGGAGCATGAACTGGGGGATGACACGGTGGAAGGTGGAGCCCTTGTAGCCCTCACCCTGAGGCTTCTTGCAAAGCTCACGGAAGTTGGCAGCGGTCTTGGGGACGTCCTTCTCGTAGAGGTTGAAGGCGATGCGGGCCGTCTTGGCTGTAAGATAACAAGCCAGTCAGTTTGAATTGAGCTGATAGACAGAAGCGAAGCTCATCGAAGAAGCACCACGAAAGAAAGCAACGAAAGCTCAATCCATCTGCCCCACCACAGGTTCAAAAACCAGGGAGACAGCGTAGAAAAGAAAGGGGAGAAGACACTTACGGGCGCTGGAGCCCACAGGGGCGTACTGGACGTCGAAGAAAGCCTTGGTGTTTCCGGACATATTGGAAGCTGTTTGATGGAATGGACGAAGAGAGAGGAAAGAGGACTGATTGCAATTGAGGACAGAGGAGAGGGGACGAGAAGCGAAGGAGCAAGGTGGGGTTAAGCCCGTTGTTGACCTCAGGACGCTTCGGGAGAACATTGTTGCTGGAGGGGCAGACACGGGAGAATTCGGCCGCCGAGATGTGCTTTCTGTTGCTTTCTTCTGCTTCCGGTGGATGGGGGATGCGTCAGCCAGTGCGCGCCAAACATGCAGGTTGGCCTGAGGCTGCGGTGTGGTTGGTCCGAAGGGAAAAGGTTGAAGTCACGGTTAGGTGCCAGTACCAACCTCCCCAACCACCCCAACCACCCCCGACACTGACCCACAGCCAATTGGGCAGAGAAGGGATTGACGATGGATACTTACAAGGATTGATGATAATTTAGAAGAGGGTGAAGAGTGAGGGCTAAAGTACAAGGGCTGGAAGACGTTGAATTGGTCGAGCTCGCACCAGGTGAAGAACGACAACCAGGGGAAGAAAATTGTCACCAAACCCTCCGAATGGGGTATAGCGTATTTGATGGTGGTTAGATAAGCACTTACTGATCCGGGTTAGGTCCGGTTCGATCTCCAGTGGGGCGGTTACAGTCCAGAACGTCCCAGAATCGTGGAGTCCAGGAGTCTTCTCCAGAAACATGAGATAATATAGATTAGATGTTTATTGAGGTATTATCTATCACAAGAATAAAGAAACCCCCCCAAAAAAATAGAAAGAAAGAAGACAAATCCTTGACCATGAGTAAGGAGGTAGAAGGAAATCAATCTAAGAAGTGGAGGGGAGGGGAAAAAAACGACAGGAGCCGGATTCGAACCGACGACCCCGAAGGGACAAGATGTCAGGGGAACTTAGTAGCACCTCGTTCAAGTCTTGCGGATTAACCACTCTCCCACCCTGCCTACTGTGGAGACAATCCAGAAGAGTGGTTAATAAGGGGGAGACGTCTTCATTTACTACAACCCAGCTTTTCTTTGGTTATCACTTTATCACTACAAGGTGGATGGCCCTTACCAGCGTTATAGCATACAATATTCAAGAAAGGCAATAATCCAATATGTATCCGTATATAATATAAACATATATATAAAATGCCACAGAACAACCTGCCACGTATCTATCACAGAAAAAAGACTGCAAAGAAACCAACGCTAATCATGGGCAAGAAAGTAGGTAGGTAAAACTGCGAATGGCAGAAAGAAGATACAAAAATAAACAAAGAAGTGAAGAATATCGAGGCCAGTAAGAATACATAAGAATCACTGCTAATCTGCAGGCCAAGGGTTGAATCGAATTCGACGCAAAATGCGAAATGGGGGGCTGGGCTCAATTATGGCAGGGAAAGAAAAAAAGAAGAAAAGAGGAAGAAAGAAGATGGGGATAGAGCTCCGCCGGATACAACAATTCGTGCCACATGGGTTTGATCATGGTCGTGCATGATGGCTGGGACTGCAAAAAAGGAGTAAAAAAGGTGTAATAAAAAAAAAGGTGTGTTACACCATTGTTCTCAAAAAATAACAAGACAATCATAAAAAGAATCAAGGTAGGTAGGATAGGATATGACAAGAAAAGACGAACAAAACATTACAATTAAGTGTTTAAGACGAAGAAAGCAAAAAAGTGTCTGGAAAGCGTTCGCATCGTGAAGACCCTGACCCAAGGAGGTAAACTGGTAGACTATCGGAAATCGTCTTCGTCGTCGTCGTTGTGGTGGTGGTTGGCGGGTTCTAACCGCTGCACCAGCTCCTTGGTTTCGCGGGCGATTTCAAAGGCAATGGGCGGCAGTCGGTTGGTGCATTCGCGCAGCTCCTCGGCACTGGATGGCGCTTCACCCTGGGCGGCTGTCTCTATGAGACGACTCCGGTGGTGCTCTAGGGTTTCGAGCATCGGCGCGGCGCGGTCCCGGAGGAGGGGGCTTGTTTCGGGCTTGTGGACGAAGTGCTGGGTGGAGGAAGTGACGTTGTTGACTACCGATGAGATGGCGGATACGTGGGTGCGAACTGCGGTGAGGTCGCCGTCTGAGCGGATGCTGGCGACGAGGGCTTGGATCGATTGGACGAGGCCGTCGGTTTGGTCTTCCACGTAGAGCTGGGGAAGTTAGCGGTTTAGGATCTCGACCGTCGACGGGCGGGTAGCTAATAGACTCACCTTGAGCTCCTGGAGCTCGTGGTCTCCGTTCGGTGCCCCGTAATCCAACTGCACAGCCGGCCCCAGTCCGTTAGGGTGGGCGTCCGTCGGGGTGCGGGAGCGATTGGACGGAGGACTCAAGGCACTGTAGATGGAATCATTGCGGCTGAACCTGCTGTGACTAGGCGCGACGCTGAAGTAGTCGGGGGACTTCATCTGGGTGAAATGCTCGTCGTCATCCTCGTCCTCATCGACGGGGCTCGGCCGTATCTTCACCAGCCGGATAAGCTCAATGACGGCAGTGGACATGTGCGAAGCCGCAGCATCGAGGAGCGAAACGGGCGACAGGCCGCTCGAGCCCGCGAAGTTCTTGCACGCCGTGATCAGGTTGTTCGCGGTGGCGGAGACCTTGCGGGTCGCCTTGGCCCGCAGCGCAGAGGTTCCATCGTCCACGCGATCGCCGACTTCAATGTCCCGAAGGATGTGGCGCACAGCGACGACAACGCCCTTGATCTGGTGCATGACAAAGTGATGCTCGTCGAACCGTGCCACGCGGATCAATTCGTCGATCGAGATCTGGAATTTGGTCACGTGCACGTCCTTCACCAGACCGTACTCCTGCAGCAGTTCGTTCTCTTTGGCGACGCTGCTAGCATCGGGACGCAGCTCGGAGATGCCCGCCGAGGAGGCGCGCAGGTGCCGCAATTGAGCCTTGGCCTTGGCGTAGCGGGCCTTCCACTGCTTCAGTTCCTCCTCCAGTCGTTGCACCTCGCTGGACAGTCGCTCTTCGTGCTCCCATCGAGTGTGGCTCTGTTCCGACAAGGCTCTCATCTCCATCAAAAAGCCAGCGGCCTCCCGCCGGACCTCTTCGGTCACCTGCTGTTGGTGTTGCAGTTCGCTTTCCAGGCTCTGGTGCTTGATCTCCAGATCCGCAAAACGAGCTTGCAGCTCCGGATCCCCGCCACTCTGCTGCGACGCTTCAGACATCTTCGATTGGAACTCATTCCCCATGGCATCATGTTCCGCGCGCACCCGGTCCAGCTCGACATGTAAGGAGCTGTTCAGCTCCTCGGCTTGCGATACCTTGCTTTCCAGCTCCATCTTCACCGCTTCCCACTCCTGTCGCTCGGCCGGATTCGTCTGTTACGTTGTCAGCAAAGGATGGGGCTAGAGATAGAGCATAGGGGCTCGATCCTTACCTGGGACTTGTGCTCTTCTTGATGTTTGGCGAGCTCCTCGCTCTTCGACTTGACCAGCTCCTCGAGAGAGTCAACATGGGCTTGATTGTCCCGGTATTTCAGCAGCTCCTCGTCCTTCGACTTCATCGACTCCTCCAGTTTGTGGACCTTCTCCTGCAACGCCGACACCTGCGCCTGCGAATCGACCAACATCCTGCGCTCCCCGTCGCCTATCGTCGTGGTCGTGCCCCGTCGGCTGAGCACCGCATCAAGGGCAAAGGCATCGCTCCGGGCGTCATAGTCATCCTCGGTCCCAGCCATATCGTCATCGTCCTCCACCATGGTACTCTTGTTCGGAACAATCGTGTTACTCTGGAAGGGTTTGGCCAACGGTGCATCCCCGTTCACGGATCCGCTCACGCTCAACGACGCTTGTCGCGGCGGGAAAGCACCCATCGGACTACCCGGAGACGATTGGGAGGGATATCCCCTGCCCATCCGAGAGGGGGGCCCCCGGGACTGTGACCGTCGACTCCCGGGAGGCGGGGGGTAACCGGCGGGGCCGTAGCCGGGCGGGTAGGCGTTCGAGGGACGGCTGCGATAACTGGAGGCGGGGCTGGCGCGGCGGGACTCGCGGGAGGGGAACTGGGGGAAGCGTCGCTCGAGCTCAGTGTAGACGTCGGTGGCCAGATCGCGGAAGCGCTGATGCTGCAGCGAGGCGAGTTTCTGACGCGCCTGGTTGCGCTTCTCGTGGAATTCGGAACGCGGCGGGAGGGACGGTGGGATATCCATGCGCGGCGGGCGGCTGGGCGAGGGCATGGCCTGCTGCCGGCGGAGCAATTCATCGTAGACGTCGGTGCTCAGCTCGTGGAACTGCGTGGGCGATAGCCGGAGTAGTTTATCCCGGGCCTTGCTGGGCTTCTGACCGAGGCGGTCGTTTTGGTACGGGGCGTGCAGGAAGCGTCGGAAGGCGACATAGTGTTGACCCAGAATCTCCTCCAGCTGCCTGTGTCGGCGACCGCGCTGGTCGGCCAGGGTGCCATCACTGGAGCGGCCGGTCACGGAGCTCGGGGGCGAGGGGTTGCCGGAATCGCCCAGGTGGGAGGAGCCATTGGGGAGGGCGCCGTTGGAGCCGCTGGGGACGCCGGAGGTGGGAGGGGTCGCGAGATTGCTGCGGTTGGAAAAAGTCGGGGAGAAAGGTGGCTCGGACTTCTGGTACTGATTGATCCCAGACCAGTCGCTCCCGTCGACGGAGACAGGCGACATGGCCCCGGAACGACCGATCATCAGGGACCGCGACGGCGGCGGTCACGTTGCTCCTGGGCCTGTTTGCTGGAGGCAATACAGAATCTCCTCAGTGGATTCAAGTCGGGACTATTCATTCGAGGGTGCGAGGGATTCGCGACCGGGAGGACATGGACAGGAAGGTTAATTCCCGATGGGGGGTGTAAAATACGGGGGTGGGAGTGGGAGGGAGGGACAGGAATTCCGATCGTGGCGGACGGGTAAAGAACGGGGCCCGGGGTTCTCGAGATGGTTCGGAGATTAATATCAGATCTAAGATGTCGACAGTCAGGGGGGAACACAGCCTCACGAGAGAGGGTGTCGAAGGGATGAAAGGACAGGAGAGAAGAAGAGAAACAAAGCAACGTGTGGAGGGAAAGAAAGAGAGGGAGACCACACGGATAAAAGAGTGAGCGGGAAGAAGGAAAAAAAAAAGGGTGTATGGGGATGGACGGAGAAAGAAAAGAAAGTCCCCCAAGCCAACGGTCCAGATCAAGTCCCAGGGGTGGAGAGGAAGCGCCTGGGACGAAATGGAAATGGAAATGGAATTCAAGGTGAGAAGAGAACAAGAATGAAGTGAGTGAGTGAGTGAGAGTGAGTGAGTGAACAGGAGACGGGAAATTGGGTGGAAATGGAGGATTCATGGGGTATTCGTATTACATACAATACGGTATATTTACTCTTGACCTTACCTATTTCTTCTATCTCTATGTCTAGTACGGAGTAGTAGTCGACTAGCTTGATCAACCCTGATGCGTAGTTCTTCATTTGTAAATCAAGATTCTACACATGACGGTTACTACGGAGTACTCAAGCAGGACAACCTGATATACTCACTCCCCCATCCATACCGTATGTAAAATTACCAAACCATAC